ATGGCATTGAACACAGCTAAACAACGAAATCTACAATTTTCCATTTATAAATTATAATACTATTTTTCTGTATAATTTTATTTGTCTTATTTGTATTTTTATTTGTATTTTATTCTCTATACAACATAAGAATTATTGTTCAAATATATTGTTACAAGGTGCAGTAGTATGTCATCCTGGCATATTTTAACCATAACTTTTATTTATATCTTTTAACATTATACTTCTACATAATTTTAGACTTTTGTGCAATATATTAATTTTAGGTATTCCATATTGAAACCACTAAAACCAGATCTATCACTTTTATAATTCATAGTTGTATTGTATAATGACCTGTTATATGCAACAACTGTAATCTATTATCAATTAACTGGATACATATTTAAATCATTGCTGAACCACCAAGCTCTATTCTATCTCTGAAGAAGTGGGGCTGACACCCACGAAACGCGTCAGATTGAAGTCAATCAAGCAGGATACGGATGCAGTTTTTGGATCCAGCAGTAGGGACCTTACCTATACCGAAAACCTCCCACAAGTTGGGGACCGATTGGCTTACAGCATCCATCTCTCAGAGTGAGGTCTGAGACGCACGCCAACCTCACCGGCAGCCGACAGCTAGAGAGATCACTGTGACACAAAGTATCTACATCCATCCTAGCCGGTCCCTGTGACAAATTTGAAATAAGGACTACTACTTTGCTGGTAACATTCTTGCACATCGTTCCTGGCTTGTATATTCAATATTTTAATAATTATATATATAAATTTTTTTATCAATAAACTTCTTGTTATTTATAACTATCTTTTAAACCCATTTTTTCATAAGTGGTTTCTTTTTTAAAGCGATACCTAATTTTATTGCACTATAGGAAGCAGTTCCAAATACTGTATTCCTATTATATATGGTTTACATATATGGTTACATATATGGTTCTTATAAAGTACATTATTTTGGTGTATACTTCATCTAGTCTGCTTTTAACAGATTTAAAGACATATGCACCATATATGGTTGTATTGTACTATACAGTCAGGATACCTAACTTTACTACATCATAGAGAACAGTTCCATATACCGTTTCTCTATTCTATATGGTTTATATCTTTATCTATAAAGCATAGTACTTGGTGTATACGTCACTTATTCTGCCTATAGCAGATTTAAAGGTGTACACACCACACACAACTGCTGCTATTTTTTCCTGAAATACTTGATTTTATTTTAGTTTATTTTTGGCACTATCATATTTAATTTTTACATAATTTTATTGGCGATATCACACAACAGCCATTTTAGGTGGACCAGCTCCTGGAACATTCACACCAACCTAGGTTGCCATTTTTATTATTGCACTCTCTCAGACAGGTCTTTGGTGAACTCCTGTCCTTATCCAGTTTTGAGCAATTCATCAAAAGTCAGACTCCCTCATCCCTGTTTGTTGCAATAGGCATACCAGACAAACATATTCTCAAATATATGCTTGTCCATTTTTGGTTTTACACATTGAAAATTGGCAAAGCGATTTTCTGGGCCTATCTTGCCTTTGAGAGAGCATGGCAGCCTGGGTAATAACATTTCCACTATTATGGCATACCATTTTCAAAAGTAGGCAACCCAGATTATTTCAAATGGTGCATTTTAAGATGTTTGATCTAACCACTTTATCAGAAATGAAGGGCCCACATAGCAGTAATAGTTTTATTTGTGCTTTTTTCCACACATGAACTCACTTTTCACAGGACATTTCCTATTCCTGATGTGAGTTATTGCAACAAAGCCTCACTATTTATTTTTTTAACATTGTCTCCTGAATATAACAGTACCCCCATGTACTGGATTTTCTGTTTTTTGGGGGAAGTTACAGGGACAAATATATTAGATGTCCATTTTAAAGTTGGAAATTTGACAAAGGGATTTGCTGGGCCTATGTGGCTATTTAGAGAGTATGGCAGACTGGGTGATAACATTTCCACCGCTATGGCATACCATTTTCAAAAGTAGGCAACCCAGAGTACAACAAATGGCAGACCTTGAGATGTTTGGTCTAGCCATTTTAACAGAAATTATGGGCCCATGTAGCAATTTCTACTTTTATTTTTGTCTTTTTAATCACATAAATTGCATTTTCACTAGAAATGTCATAATCCTGGTATTAGTTAGTGCACTAAAAACTCAGTATTTTGATTTAACACTGTCTTCTGAATATAACCGTACCCCCACGTTTCATTATTTCGGATTCTTTCCGATAAGTACAGGGCAAAATATATTAGATGCCCTTTTAGCTTGTAAGTTTGACAACGTGATTTGCTGGGCCTATGTGGCTATTTAGAGAGCATGGCAGCCTGGGTAATAACATTTCCACCTTTATGGCATACCATTTTCAAAAGTAGGCAACTCAGAGTACAACAAATGGCAGACCTTGAGATGTTTGGTCTAGCCATTTTAACAGAAATGATGGGCCCATGTAGCAATTTCTACTTTTAATTTTGTCTTTCTAATCACATAAATTGCATTTTCACTAGAAATGTCATAATAAAGAGTTAGGGCCCAAAATTTGCGCATTTCTGAGAGATCCGTGGGGTGCCACATATTACGCCTATTGTAATGTGACCCCGGATTCGCAGTCAGATATTGGTTGGTAAATAAATTGGTTTGCTCAACCAATAACTGAAATACTTCCTCTGACATGAACAAATCAAAATATTTTAGGGGCTCCCAAGCATCCACCATAACAGTGATGCCAGGGGTCGCCGTAAATGGGGGAATATCTGGGGCCGTCAGGTTTGGGGGCACCCAGTCTCCTTCCGGCATTGGGCTTGCTGAGCGTCCTCTTGTTGGTGGTGGTGGGGCACCATCACTAGAGGAGTCAGTTATAGCCTCAATGTCAGAGGCAGTGGTACTGTCTTGCAGAGTGTCACTATCACTGCCTGCCAGAATGGAGTACGCCTCCTCGGCCGAGTAGCGACGTGCCATTCTAGGGGGGACTACTGAATAATTAATCAAAAAAATCTAAGGGGGAAATTACAAAATTCCTACCTGCCTAACACCCTACTACCCACCCTCAAAAACCCACAAAAAATAAAATAAATGTACTGATCGCAGTTTAGGCTGCTGCGACCAGTACAGAAAGGGTTAATTTTTATTTTAGTTTTTGTTTTTTTAATAAAAATAAACCCCCAAAAAAGTCAGCCTGATCAGAGAGCCCTCTGATCACAGTGATCACTGGTACAATACTGTACAGTAGCGATACTGTACAGTACAGTGATCACGGCAGCGGGGAAAGGGTTAAGGGTGATTTGGGTTGCTGCGGCTGACCCTAAAAAAATAATAATAGCACAAATGTACTAAAATCCCTAAACAGGCTGATCACAGTGTTAAATGCTGTGACCAGCACTGGAAGGGTTAATTTTTTTATTTTATTTTTAACTTTTTCTTTATTTTATACAGTTCTTTCTCCTACAGGGCTCTCCAGCAACGATCTCCCTGCCTCTCTCTCTCAGATCGAAGTGAGATGAGGAGAGGGGCAGAAACAATGTGTCAGCCAGTGATTTAAAATCATTGGCTGATACATTGTAACAGTGATCGCAGTGACTGGCTGTCACTGCGATCACAAACTGCCGATCACCACGGATTGGCCACAGGGGACCTGCCTGCGTTGCCAGGCAGGTCCCCTCACCGTGATCTGCAGTTTGGGAGGGATCAGGGCAACGTGGGTGGGCTTAAACGCAGCGGCGTGCTATGCCGCCGTGAAGGCTTTTAAGCCCATTAACGCCGGGACGGCATAGCACGCCGTAACGGCGTTAATGGGTTAAACATCCTTTAATGCTCAGTCTACAGAGCCTGTGTGTGATAACAGTTCGATTTACAGAGCAGGAGATTTAAAAAAAACAAAAAAAAAACGAAAGTGAATGCACTATGCTGATTGAAAATTAAACCAAGTTGATATTGGCTGTGTGAGTCACAGCCAGGTAAGGTGTGGCTAGAGCTGCATAAACAAAAGTGATTTAACTCTTTTCATGGCAGAGTATTGAGCAATGAGACTGCTATACACGATGATCTACACACCAACACTCCTCCATTAAGCTCAAGTTTTTTTGGTGCTTAGAGTATCCCTTTATTTGTATGCACATCTGCTCTATTTTGAATTGTATCCAACTGGGAATGAGTTCATCTTTTTCATACTAATTCTTTTGTACATTCTAAATAGTTACCAGTTCCAGCTTGGCCATAAAAAAAATATGAAAAAGCACTCTAACAACAACCAGTTAAGGATTTTGTTTGTTTTTATTACAGCACATTTTATATAGTCTAATGGACATCCCCGTTTAGAAGTGTCATTTAATTGTATGCCTGCCTTGCCTTCGACCTCATGCTGAGTACTGAACATATCCAACACATATTACATAGTGCTCCCAAATTTTATAGCAAGCATGGCTGATATCCAGATGGTATGTGGACCTTACAGCAAAGCACACCTAAGTTATACGGTTTTCAGTGTTGACTTCTATACCCCGACTGCTATGGATGTTTCCCTAATCTTATATCTGCACATATAAAACCACAAAACATCTCTCAGAAGGACACAGAACCAGGGCCGCCTTAGGGGTGTAGCTCTCTGCATGTATGTTTGTGTGTGGCTGTCTGCCTCTGTGTGTGTGACTGCCTATGTGTGACTGTCTGGGCAGACTAGATGGGCCTAATGGTTCGTATCTGCCGTCACATTCCACGTTTCTATGTCTGTGTGTGCGTGTGGCTGTGTGTGTGTGACAGGGTGTGTGGGAAGGGGGGGGGGCGCTGTGAAGATTTTTCGCACAGGGTGCCTAATGGCCTAAGGCCAGCCCTGGGCAGAGGACAGTCCTTATAAGACCTGGAATGGAACACATGTAGAAGTGAGCATCTTAAGTTATAACCTAAGGTAAATCATTTTTTAATTAATCAAATGAAATAAAACAAAAGGAAAACTCAGATCAATTTGTTCTTTTTTTTTTATCATTTAAGCCAACTCTAGCTGGTGACTCTTCAGGGGTGAAAGGTTACGATTGGTGGTTCGATTAAATGTATCCAAGGATGCAACATATTTCTCAGCAGGGACTGTGAGCTTCCGACGAACATCTAGACACCTGTTATCTAGACTGAGGGAATTTTCCTTGGTCTTGATATCTGCTTCTATACGTGCTAGATGTTTGTATAAAGCATCCAGGGCATCCCTAAATAAAAACAGAATTTAAAAAAAACAATGAGAACAAAGGTTTGGCTAAAGAGGAGATACTAAACAAACAGCAGCTATCTTTATCCTGTAAATATTTTCAAAGGAAACTAAATGCACAATAGTCCTATCTACCTTTTCTGTCTGGTTTTTGCATGGAAATTGTCTGCTACCATAGGCATGCGCATGGGGTGTGCCTGGGCACACCCTAATCCTCGCGGCACGCCTATGGATTGAGACCGGCAGGGGAGAGCGCCGGCTCTGCTCTAGGCCTCCATGGGCTGGTGGGGAGATCTCCCTCACCCGCCCACAGCAGCATGGAGGGAGGCAGGCAGGAGAGGACCCAGGGAGCTCCAGCCAGCAGCTGCGCCGGGTTCCTCTTGTGAGATCTGAGCGTTGCCGCGGCAACGCTCAGACCTCACGAAAGTGAACTCTAGCCATTCAGGCTAGAGTTCACTCTCCACTGGACCACCAGGGATGGCACATGGCAGCAAGGATCCCCCCTCCCTACATAAGGTAAGAAAGGAGGGGGGATATTTACTAATCCACCCCCACAATTCTTCCAAACATACGGCACACACAGCAACCTCACACACACAGCATGCAAACTGCACCCCCACACACAAACAGCACCCACACACACACAGCACCTGCACACATACAGCACCCTCACACACAGCACACTAACAGCACCCTCACAAACACACACACAGCACACTAACAGCAACCTCACAAATACACACACACAGCACACAAACAGCACCCTCACACACACACATCACACAAACAGCACCCTCACAGGACCCTAACACACACACACAGCACACTACCAGCACCCTCACACACAGCACACAAACAGCACTCTCACACACAAACAGCACCCTCACACACAGCACACTAACAGCACCATCACAAACACACACACACACAAACACCCTCACCCACATAGCACACTACCAGCACCCCTATACAAACACACACACACACACACAGCACCCTTACACACATAGCATCCTCCAACTGCACACTAACAGCACACATACACAGCAGTGCATGTGTGTGTGTATGTGTATATGTATATATACATACATATACACGCGGCGTGTGTTTGTGCTGCGCAAGCCTATGTCTGCTACTATCACAAATTTAAACAAAAAGATAAATACACACATACATCATTCCTTTATAATGTTCCTAAAAAAAGCTTAAATGGACTTTTGAAAGAAATAATTTATCTGCTAGCTTAATTCTATTTTATTTGGGCTATGTGTGCAACAGATGTTAAATGCATGGGCCAGTAGCCAGATTGTGTATATATAAAACCACTAAAACATATTTAAATATAAAATTAAATCAGGACATTAAATTTCACATTTTAAGTTAGGTATACAAGTTGCTCAAATTATTATTTATATTCAAGGTGTCTCCAAAACATGTCAGTGTGTGTGAATGCACAAGTACATTTCTAAGGAACATCCATGTGTGTGAATGAGTGTGCAAGGGTGTATTTGTATGCTGTGTCAGTGTGTGAGTGTGCAGTGTTGTATTTGCACCAGGTGTCAATTTGTGTTTGATGTTTCAGGGATGTATTTGTATTTTATGTGTGTGTGAGGGAGAGTGTGTACAGGGATGTATTTGAAAAAGAAAACACATTCAATAAAGAACACTAATTTATGTTACCCGTGTTTAGTATAGCTATTGCTGTCCCTTTCTCATTTCATCCTATTCAGCATAGCAGCAAGGATTTGCAAACCTTGCTGCACTCATATGCATAGCCATAGATAATTTTGTACATAGTGCATTCAGGTCTTAAAACTACTAATTAATTTTAGTTATTTCAGGTGTTAATGAACCTACTAGCCCTGCTAATAGGAGACATGGAGCTTTTAGCCCAAAGTAGCATTAGATCACCTACACTATGCCGGACATCAATGCATTGGTTGCACAAAAGCAGGAAATCTTTCACCGATACCCTGTTAGGAAACTCAATTCTCACTAATCCTTAAAGGACTGGTTTTAATATTTCGCTTGTAACTTTTAAATGTACTCCTAATCAAAGGTAAATCAATCATTAAACTTAAACTTACTGGGATTGTGCTAGCTTTTGCTTCAGAGCAGCAATAGTGCCCTCAAGCTGGTGGACTTCATCCGTCAAGCCGTATTGTGCCTGGGCAAATAAAGAGAAATAAGGTTTTGGTTTTTATCACTTCTTATAAGGATGCTTGATAAACTAGGCCAGGTGTAGGCAACCTTCGGCACTCCAGATGTTGTGGACTACATCTACCAGAATGCTTTTATTGCCAGAATGCTGGCAAAGCATCATGGAAGATGCAGTCCACAACATCTGGAGTTCCAAAGGTTGCCTACCCCTGAACTAGGCTATTCAAGTGGAAGAACTTAAACAACGTGTTATACCTGGTCTCTACAGAGTTCCATATTGGGTCGAAATGTGCGTGTCTCCAAGCGAGTATGAGCCAGCTTTAGAGGCCCTCTCTTATCTTTCAGATCTGCTTCCAGGCGCCTGATGTCTTCTTCCATCTCTTCTATCTCCTCCTTAGTCTTTGACAAGAGGGATGACAAGGTAATATTTTATACAACAACTATGTTTGCTCGCAAAGATCTAACATTTTTTCAAGAAAGAAAATCAAATTATAGTTCAGGAGGTAAATAGACCCAACTTTCAGTTTAAATTTACAGTACAAGTGGTTTGAAAGGAGTCTTCCAGCAACACTTCTTGTGGCACTAGCATTGTCCAAACACTCTGCTTGGTCCTAGTGGCCTCATCTGGTGCGAGTATATCAAATGAGGCATTCATGCTATGCTTCCTGGGGACAGCATCTCCTATTCCAAAATCCAGTGTTAGTTCCCTGGAATGGTCCCACCAGATCTGGGACTGTTGAGAATTATACTGCTTTCTCCATATAGTTATTACTTAATTAGCAGCTACTAAAGGCTACTAGGAGTTTGGCTTCTAAGTATACACAAACCTATACTGTATCTGCATTCACATATTCTTTTTATTTATTTTTTTAAATTATGAAGCGCTTACTTTATTTAAACTTCAATCAAAGAGGGGAAAAAAACTTTCGCTCCCAGACAAGAATTTTTGTTTCCCAAAAGCATACGAATAAATGTACATACATTTTACTGAAAAACAACTCAATAAAGAGTCAACTACACCTGAAATTAAGTGAAATACCAGAAATTAGTACTTTAGTGCAAAGTACTAATTGTTTCTTGATAGTGGTTTACTCAAAACACACAGTCCCTTGTTCATTTTTTAAAAATATGTAGACCAATTGTCAGTCATTAAAAGAGAATTACATTGAAGCTTTTCATTTAATGCTCATTTAATGACAAAAGTAATCTTCTAGAACATATGGTTCTGTATCATTTGCAAGTGATGTAGGCATGCAGATTGTCTGGTTATACATTGATTAGCCACAACATTAAAACCACCTGTCTAATATCATGTAGATCCCCCTTGAGCTGCCAAAACACCTCTAATGTGTCGAGGCATGGATTCCACAAGATCGCTAAAAATGTTCTGTGGTATCTGGCACCAAGACATTAGCAGCAGATCCCTTAAGTCCTGCAACCTGTGAGGAGAGCCTCCATGGATCGGATTTGTTGTTCCAGCAAATCCTACAGATGCTCCATCGGATTGAGACCTGCGGAATTTGGAGGCCAAGGTAACACCTTGAGGTCTATGTCATGTCCCTCAAACCATTCCTGAACACATTTTGAACAAAGTAACATCCACATGAATGCTAGGACGCAAGGATTCCCAGCAGAACATTGCCCAAAGCATAGCACTTCCTCTGCCAGCCTGCCTTCTTCTCATAATGCATTCTGCTGCCATCTCTTCCTCAGGTAAACAAGGCACAAGAACTCGGCCATCCACCCGAGCTAAAAGAAAACCTTCTTCCATTGCTTCATGGTCCAATTCTGATGTGCACATCCCCATAAAAGGCACTTTCAGTGGTGGATTGGTGTCATCATGTGCACTCTGGCCAGTCTGCTGCTACGCAGCATCTTATGCAGCAAACTTCAATGCAATGTGTGATCTGACAACTTTCTATCATGAAAAAAAGATAGAGGTAAGGGCTGCGCTAGTATACAAGAAATAATATGGTAAAAATTGAATATGCCAAAATGAATAGACAGCAATAGAAGAACCTAGGTATAATAGTCTCTATTAAAATACCATAAAAAAAGTAGGTAAAACAAAGTCCACCCAAGTGTTTAAAATGTTCAGTAGAAATCAAATAGTATAATGTTCAATAAAATACATAAAACCGTCTCACTGGTATATGGATGGGGTATGTGTACAATCCTCAGGAGTTGATCCGTCCGGGTTGTAGGTAATCCGTATATGTAAAGATAAAAAACACAACAAGCTTCCAATGGTATAATATTGTAGCTCTAAAGGTAAAATAAATAAAAAGGAGGATAGTACACTCACATTTGGTGGAGCTAAGGCCAGCTCTGGAATGAAGGGCGCTTAGCGGTATAATCCCCGCTAGAGGATATACTGGAGAAGTGGGTCTGTCCGTCCGACTTTGATTCCGTCGTACTCCACAGGATATATATAAAAACAGCAATAGTGCATTCCCTGACCCCACATCCTCAGCTCCGAGCAAGTACCGGACCCATTACACACTGTCCAACCTCCCCACTACATTGTGTCCCGAGACAGCCCCAGGTTGTGGACCATGGGTAGCTGCCATCTTGAGACACTCAGATTGTTGAGCATGGTTTTTTTTGTTTGATTTCACAAAGTATACTGTGAATATCTGCGTTGGTGGGGTCCAGAGGGAAGGATAACGGGGCTCAGCAGACTTTTCAATGGAGAGTGGGGAATCAGCTGCATCCCCTTGACTCACCTGAGTGAGAAGGCTTCAAGCATTAAGTCTGGTGAGCACCTTCAGCCAGTGCCAGTAAGCGAATCAGAACTCTAACATACATTGTAGCTGTATGTAAAATCACTAAAATGTTATTTTGTTTCCTTAATAAATGTCTCTTACTAAAAGAGACCGATATAAATATAAACAGCCAGATGTTTTGGTGGACACAAGACAGTAGCTTACATTTTTCTCTTGCCATTTTAGTTCATTGTGAGCCTTTTCAAATTCCCGTATCCTCTTCCTGAAAGCGAACTCAACAGCAACTCTCTGAGCCTCCAGTTCATTATAAGTCTATATTGGGGGAAATGGTAAATCTGGTAAAAAAAAAAACCTGTTTGTACGATTGGGGTGGGGGAGAGGAGACACTCTTTTACATTATAAACATCTGGAAATGTTGTTTCTTTTTTTCCTTTGGTACATTTTAATAGAAGGCTGACGTCTAGTGTTCAAACTGAAACACTGCATTGCATGTTTGAAAATATATCCTAATCAGGATTTCAAAGTGAATTTTAGGTGAATTGCAAATGTAAGGCCAAAATAGCTAAATTGGAAAGCTTCTCCAAGTTAACTGTGCTTCCAGCTCGGCTTTTTTGGACTTAAATTTGAAATTCACTTTGGATTCCTGATAATTAGCATTTTTTTGTTTTATATTTCTCCAACTATAATTTCTCTCTCCCTTATTTAGTGCATCCATACATATGTTTGCTAAAGAACATACAGGAATTTAGTTTGGAACTAAATGATGAATTATCTAGTATCTATACAGGGTACGAATAAAAAAAAAATCAGAAGCCCAAGATCCCATGACATGAGTTGGTAACAAAGGTGTAAAGAGCAACAAAAATGCAACAATCTTGAACAAATATTATATATGGTGTTCAACAGACACTTCATTAAAGGGACACTATAGTCACCAAAACAACTTTAGCTTAATGAAGCAATTTTGGTGTACAAATCATGTCCCTGCAGTCTTACTTCTAAATTCTCTGCCATTTAGGAGTTAAATCACTTTTTATGAACCCTAGTCACACCTCCCTGGATGTGACTTGCACAGCCTTCCTAAACACTTCCTGTAAAGAGTCGTCTAAAGTTTATCCTTCCTTTATTGCAAGTTCTGTTTAATTTAGTTTTTCTTATCCCCTGCTATGTTAATAGCTTGCTAGACCCTGCAAGAGCCTCCTGTATGTGATTAAAGTTCAGTTTACAGAGAAAGAGATACAATTGTTTAAGATAAATTACATCTGATTGAAAGTGAAACCAGTTTTTTCATGCAGGCTGTGTCAATCAGGGCCAAGGGAGCTGTGTCAAGGGCTGCATAAACATAAAAATGTGATTTAACTCCTAAATGGCAGTGAATTGAGCAGTGAAACATTAGAAGCAGGATCTATACACTAAACTGCTTCATTAAGCTAAAGTTGTTTAGGTGACTATAGTGTTCCTTTAAGCACATTTTTGTAATTCTCATTTTTTGAATACAACTGAGAAAAAGTAGGGTCAGTGCAATTCTGATCCTCAATATGAACTGTTTTATCAGGTCACTTGGGAGGTATGCTTCTAAACACTTCTAAACCTTACATTTCTTCTTTCCATTTATAAATGTAGATAGCAGTATAAAATAGGTGTAAGTAGTATGAGAATATTAGGTAACAAGTCTTAGGTTTGATGGTACCTGTGCAATAGTCAGTGCAATAGCTTCTCTCAGTTGAGTAGATCCCCGTATTTCAGCCTCTGCCCGTTCTTTGTTGTACTGGCTGTACTGTTCCCATTCCAGGGGGGTTGTGGTTCTATTGACAAGTAACCATTCTTATGTAGATACACATGACTACAACATATCCTACCTATTCTTGATATGCTATAAAGGATATCCCCCAACTCACATTGATAGTCCCCACCTCCCGTTATACAAAAAAACAAGGCCAATCAAAACATTTATTTTTATAAAAAAGTATAAACCATATTCTATAATTCAGTGTGTTGAGACTCCCTCCTCTCTGCAGTTGCTCTACCTCTAATGAGGTCATCAATTCTGATGAGTTTGTCAAGTCCATTGATTCTTATGAAGAAGCATTGAGGACATAGGACACATGTGAAGCATTCACCACAATCTGCCAATCCAATGCTTCTCACAGAGAAGCATTGGATGCATTCAGAATCACAATGTTGTGTATGATGACCATAATTGTTGCTGACAGGGGCTTTGTTGGCTGAAATTCAGAATAAGGGACTCTTCAGCCATGGATCTCTACTGTTAGTGGAGGGGACACACCACATTTTAGTGGGGTTTTTCTTTTTATGATTATAATTTATTTTACTCAAAGCAGCTGACTCATACAAAAAAATAAAGGTCACTAGCACAGTGCTCTGCAATGTAACTGTTGGGAGGGGGTACTTGGGAACAGGACTTTGCTGCATATCCCTATTACATAAGTACTGCTGTGGGATCACGTTGATCCTGTCTATGCAGCATTTGCTTGATTGTAGACATTAGTATTACTCTGAAATGGCAATGCTTTACACTGCCAATCAAAAGTTACAGCATCTATGCATCAATACCACTTATTTAAGATGAAGTGGCTATTGTACTTAGAGTATCTCTTTAAGTTGTTTCTACTGCACCTTCTGCAAACCTTCTGCAGCTCTCTCTTAATACACAGATTTAAGAACCACACCTCCTTTTAGCATACAAACTTCAATCATCATAAATCCTGTCCTATAGAATTAAGGCAGAAAATGTTCCTACCCAGATGGTACACGTTTTGGATCTGGTTTCAAGGAAATGTTTGGAGAATTCTTGTTAAGTGACAGACAGGTCCGGTCTATTTCTATGGTCTCCACCTTACATCTGTGATCCCAGTTCAGTTGTTGACGGGTTTCCTGAAGGAGGCTGGGGGAGGAGACAAATGTGTTTTTTAGACTGGGCAAAAACTATTATCCTACTCCCACCTTCACTTCCTTTCTATCCTTCTGCTCTTAGCTGCTGCTGATGTCTCTCCAAACCCCGGTCCCATCTCCAAACCCACCACGTACTAACTCAAGGAACCACACCAATCTCATACCCATCTCATTTGTTACTCTTCTTCTAAATCCTCCTTCAATACTGCCCTGTGGAAAGCACGCTCTGTTTGCAATATTACAAAATCCACTGCAGGTTTAGATCATGCCTTTCCTAATCATCAGACTTTCTCCCTGGCTACTGAACAAGAGGTGGCTGCACTTCTCCTTTCCTCTTGCCCCACCACTTGAACACTCGATCCTGTCCCATCTCACCTTATCAGATCTCTCTCCCCTTGTCTTGTGCCTTCCTTAACACACATCTTCAACTGCTCTCTCTCTCTTCTGGCATTGTCTCTGCCGACCTTAAGCATGCCACTGTAGTACCTATCCCGAAAAAAAACATCGCTTGACCCGTCCTCCCCCTCTAACTATCGTCCCATATCCCTGCTTTCTTTTTCCTCAAAGCTTCTGGAAATACTTGTCTTTACCCATATGTCTCACTTCCTCAATTCCAACTCTCTCCTTGGCCCTCTTCAATCTGGCTTCCACCCTCTCCACTCTACTGAGACTGCTCTTATCAAAGTTACTAACGACCTAATCGCAGCTAAATCCAAAGGCCACTACTCCATACTAATTCTTCTTGACCTCTCTGCTGCCTTTGACACAGTTGATCATGCTCTCCCCTTCTTCAAACTCTTCAATCACTCGGTCTCTGTGACTCTGTCCTCTCGTGTTTTTCCTCTTATCTCTCCCAACGCTCATTCAGTGCCTCCTTTTCTAATGATACCTCCTCCCCTCGTCCTGTCTCGGTTGGAGTCCCCCAAGGCTCTGTCCTTGGTCCCCTTCTATTTTCTCTTTATACTGCCTCTCTTGGCAAACTTATTACGTCTCTTGGATTCCACTGCCACCTGTACACTGATGACACCCAGATATATCTCTCCTCCCCGGACCTCTCCCCTGCAACATGTCACTGCTTGCCTTTCTTCCATCTCTGACTGGATGTCCTCCTGCTTTCTGAAACTCAATCTCTTTAAAACTGAGCTCCTTGTCTTTTCTCTGCCTAATACTGATCCTCCTCTTTCGCTCTCCCTTTAAGTTAGTGTTTTCCACATTAGTCCATCACTGCAAGCGCTCTGTCTTGGTGTCATACTTGATTCTGGCCTCATATTTGAGCCTCACATCCAGTATGTTGCTAAATCCTGTTGATTCCATCTTAAAAACATAGCCTGCATCCGCCCCTTTCTTACGCAAGATGCTACCAAGGAGCTTGTCCATTCTCTAGTAATTTCCCGCATGGATTATTGAAACCCTCTCCTAATTGGTCTTCCCAAAAGCCATATTTCCCTGCTACAGTCTGTAATGAATGCTGCCGCCAGACTGAATTTCCTCTAAAGTCGATCCTCTTACACCCCTCTTTCAGTCCTTACATTGGTTTCCTGTATCCTATAAAAGTCAATTCAAAGTGCTAACCCAGACCTATAAAGCACTGAACAATCTCTTTACAGATCTCTTATATCTCTTTACAGATCCATAGGTATGCCCCTTCTCGGTCTCTCCGCTCTGCCCGTGACCTTCTCCTGTACGTTGCTCGCACCCATACGGCCAACTCACGCTTGCAGGTCTTCTTGCGGGTGGCTCCCTTCCTATGGAATAGCCTGCCGACCGCCATCAGACTCTCCCCTGGTCTTGCATCTTTTAAGAAGTGCCTTAAAACCCATCTCTTTGGGAAAGCTTAGGGCCTCCCAGAGTAACATCTACCTCACATACCTGCTCTGTTTTACTCCCACCTTATTTGATTGCTATTTCCTGTCCTAATGTGTTTTATACCCCACCTTCTATAGACTGTTAGCTCGTTTGAGCAGGGTCTTCTTCAACCTATCGTTCCTGTAAGTTTTCTTGTAATTGTCCTATTTCTAGTTAAAGCCCTGCAAAATCTGTTGGCACTATATAAATGGCAATAATAATAATAATAGTAATAATTAGGACTTACATGTTGTTATGATACAGAAGAGTCGTTAAGGGCATCTACCTACATGACATGTTCCTTCCTAAACTCAGAATTGAGGATAACTTGACCACGTACTCTTTGAGGGTGCCAGTGCACTCCTGGCACCATAACCACTACAGTGTTCCTTCAATAAATTGAGTGTAAATTTCAGTAAACCTTTCTCTGATGCCAAATCATTTTATTTGCCACCTTCAAGTTGAACTACATTCCTAAGATAATATTGTCTGTGGACACAGTGATTCATTTGTGAAGTGAATATTTAAATAAGTGGCTGCTGTATGTTATTTAAGTTTTTAAGGTAATGTAACAAAAGCACCCAAGCTCAACTAAATAATTCTTCAACTATCAGTAAGGCCCGAACAGACTGTAAACGTGTGCTCACTTACTACAGAGCGGTGAAGTACCTATGGACATTTCTTGTCTTCTATGGCAGACCAAGGTGACAAAAACAGGTACCACACTTCCATTAGGATTACTAGATCTCAAGTGGGTTATTTATTAAGTGACAATTTAAAGAGAAGTTAAAATTTAGGAATAACCAAACTGAAAGCATAGCTGATTTTTCCAGTTTGGCTATTTTGACCTTAAGTTTGAAATTCAATACACCTGTGAGATGTAAATAGGCTATAGTTACTGCACTAACTACTACATTTTTGACCATCTCAGACTGTGTCATGGAAATCATTGGTGCAATTTGGACTAAGGAAAATAGGGCATGGGGATAAGCAGCGCTGAATTTACCCTTTCTGCTTCCCACACGTTTTATATATATATATATATATATAAATATATATATATATATATATATATGTATGTATGTATATATATATATATATATATATATATATATATATATATCTCGGTCTCTCCGCTCTGCCCGTGACCTTCTCCTGTACGTTGCTCGCACCCATACGGCCAACTCACGCTTGCAGGTCTTCTTGCGGGTGGCTCCCTTCCTATGGAATAGCCTGCCGACCGCCATCAGACTCTCCCCTGGTCTTGCATCTTTTAAGAAGTGCCTTAAAACCCATCTCTTTAGGAAAGCTTAGGGCCTCCCAGAGTAACATCTACCTCACATACCTGTATCTTGCTCTCCTAAAGGGCCGCATACTCTCTCCTCCAGCTCTGTTTTACTCCCACCTTATTTGATTGCTATTTCCTGTCCTAATGTGTTTTATACCCCACCTTCTATAGACTGTTAGCTCGTTTGAGCAGGGTCTTCTTCAACCTATCGTTCCTGTAAGTTTTCTTGTAATTGTCCTATTTCTAGTTAAAGCCCTGCAAAATCTGTTGGCACTATATAAATGGCAATAATAATAATAATAGTAATAATTAGGACTTACATGTTGTTATGATACAGAAGAGTCGTTAAGGGCATCTACCTACATGACATGTTCCTTCCTAAACTCAGAATTGAGGATAACTTGACCACGTACTCTTTGAGGGTGCCAGTGCACTCCTGGCACCATAACCACTACAGTGTTCCTTCAATAAATTGAGTGTAAATTTCTGTAAACCTTTGTCTGATGCCAAATCATTTTATTTGCCACCTTCAAGTTGAACTACATTCCTAAGATAATATTGTCTGTGGACACAGTGATTCATTTGTGAAGTGAATATTTAAATAAGTGGCTGCTGTATGTTATTTAAGTTTTTAAGGTAATGTAACAAAAGCACCCAAGCTCAACTAAATAATTCTTCAACTATCAGTAAGGCCCGAACAGACTGTAAACGTGTGCTCACTTACTACAGAGCGGTGAAGTACCTATGGACATTTCTTGTCTTCTATGGCAGACCAAGGTGACAAAAACAGGTACCACACTTCCATTAGGATTACTAGATCTCAAGTGGGTTATTTATTAAGTGACAATTTAAAGAGAAGTTAAAATTTAGGAATAACCAAACTGAAAGCATAGCTGATTTTTCCAGTTTGGCTATTTTGACCTTAAGTTTGAAATTCAATACACCTGTGAGATGTAAATAGGCTATAGTTACTGCACTAACTACTACATTTTTGACCATCTCAGACTGTGTCATGGAAATCATTGGTGCAATTTGGACTAAGGAAAATAGGGCATGGGGATAAGCAGCGCTGAATTTACCCTTTCTGCTTCCCACACGTTTTATATATATATATATATATATAAATATATATATATATATATATATATGTATGTATGTATATATATATATATATATATATATATATATATATATATATATATATATATATATATATATATATATATATATATATATATATATATATATATATATATATATATGACCACGAGTGGGTCCGAAACATTGACGCTGCACAATTAAAAACTTTTTAACTTTTTCATAACATCATAAAGTCCTGTGAGTGCCTACTCCTTTCCAATATTTGAAGAATGTATTATAGTTCCACTGTGGAGCACCGAGGCTATATTATCTAAAGAATTTCGTGGTTCTCAGAACTGAAAACAGTGCCTTCAAACTTCTATTTTACATATACATATATATATAGATATACACACACACACATACATACAGTACCTTACAAAAGTGAGTACACCCCTCACTTATACCCCTCTTTCCCCCCATTTCTCACTTGTTTCCCACATCTTTGTCCCCATCCCTTCTTTGAACCCCTCTTCTCTGTCCCCATCCCTTGCCTGAACCCCTCTTCTCTCCTCCTTTAATCACCTGTTTCACTCTTCCACTCTGCTTTACACAATTGCTCAATTCTTTTCTCCCAACCATCACATGTGACCTCTTATCTCCCTTTTCATTCACTTGTTCTCTTCTTATATCCCCTCTCTCCTTCACTCACTTCTCCTCTTATGTGTCCCCAGTAATTCTCTTCTAGTTTTACCTCCTTCCTTTGAGGAAAGAAGTATTTCCCTTTTCATATGAGCACTCTTGATGTCCCATTAACGATACAGGGTTTCAGCAGGGTTGCCCCACTCCCGTGTTCCGCCCAGAGGCCTTGGCGGCCTTATGGTAAATCCGGCCATGTATATTATTTTAGAGAATTTGTCGTTTTTTTTTTTTATCTCTCCCGTGTTGTTGAGGCTGCAGATCATATAATGCTTGCATTAGCAGTATGTTACGGGATGTTTATTGTACTAAATGGCAATCAGTTCAGGCTAGCAGCAAACGGTCTCCATCCAAAATTCTTGTAATCCGTAAAAATAAATGAAATCCATTGTGGAAATCTTACCACAGCTGCTCGAAAGCCTCACTGATCTTCTGCTGCAGTGCCTTGCGGACAGCTTCGATCACCTCCACCTCTTTGTGAAGCTCAGCTTCCACTGGATCCATCACCAGATCAATGTCCCTACGACGCTCTCGATAAGTTAGACTCTCCACAGCCACATCCAGAGGGACGTTCTTGGCCTGTAAGGCTCGCTCTGCTTCATCTTTTATCTGTAATTCACCAAAAAACATGTAAGGTGGAAAACAGCACAAACATTTTTTAATTACATTATTACGTTTTATTAATTTTTTAAAATGGTTTTGTGCACACAAGTAATATACCATATTTTTAGGAATATAAGATGCATCAGATTATAAAACACACCCATATATTTTAAATAAAAAAGAATGAATATCCTCTTTTGGCTTACGTCAATCGTGGTCAGTCATGACTTAGAACGCTGAGTGGGCGGAGCGTCCAGATTGCGCAGCAGTGAGAGTGAGTGCTTTCCATCTCCTTGCGACACGCCGATGCTGAAGCCGCAGCGAGAAAGCCTGTCAGCCAAAACCTACAAACTACCAGAGGCAAACCCAGTGGCTTGACGACCCCTCAAGATTCCTAAGTGATCTCAAGGGAATACTTATATAAGACATTGCAGGGGACGTTTACCGCAGTCAGTGCCTGAAGCCTTCTAGCCGGACAGATAAGTGCACGTAGGGGATAGCTGGTCGATTAGAAGTTATGTGGATAAACCACGCTACACAACAGGCAGCATAACTTGCATTTAAAATAACATATCATTTTTCATGTATGACTTTATAGTAGCTAAAGATAGCTGTTAAAGTCTCTACAAAATGCAGATTTTCCATGCTCAGAGAATATTAAGATTGGGATAAAAGCTGGAAATCCCTGTATGGTTGTTAAGTTAAAGGACCACTATAGGCACCCAGACCACTTCAGCTTAATGAAGTGGTCTGGCTGCCAGGTCCATCTAGGATAAACCCTTTCTGCTGTAAACATTGACAGCCACTAGAGGCGCTTCCGCGCTTCTCACTGTGATTTTCACAGTGAGAAGATGCCAGCGTCCATAGGAAAGCATTGAGAATGCTTTCCTATGAGACTGGCTGAATGCGTGCGCGCATGCGCATTCAGCCGATGACGGGGAAAGGAGATGGAGAGTCCCCACTGCCGAGGGAGCCCGGCGGTGGAGAAAAGGTGAGGATTTTAACCCCTTCCTCACCCTACAGCCCGGCGGGAGGGGGACCAAGAGACCCTATAGTGCCAGGAAAACGAGTATGTTTTCCTGGCACTATAGTGGTCCTTTAAAGACAACTCTGTCAAATCGCAGTCAAACTACTGAGAAATTACAGCTAAAAAAGATTCTTCCTAGCTAAAATACAGGAAGTGAAAGTCTCACTGGCGAGAAACTATACCAGTTAAATTTTTTGATAAGTGTCTGGAAAAAATCTGGACTAAAAGGGAGCCATATTCTCCCTCAAATTTAAAGGGGAAGTAAGAGAGAAGGAGAGTCAGTGTAGATCAACAAAATGGGGAATAAAAAACCTAATGAGACCAAACAAACATCAAAAAAAGAGAAAAAAGACGAGAAACCTCTTAAAAGTGAAAGAAGATTATTTACATTTTCCCCCTCTCTTAAACCAACGGACCCCAAACCCAGATTGTTACTGGCAAAAAAAATGTCTCTGATATTCCAGACAATGATACTAATGAATCTGAACCACACAGTTCAAAAATGACAAGTCCAAAATCACCAGAAGTACATCTCGCATCGCAAGATTATATTAAACAGTGTTTGGAGATTCATCTAAACCAAATTAAAGAAGAACTTAGAATCCATATGAGTGATCTAAAACAGGAAATGTCTAAAATGAATGAAAGAATTAAAGAAAATGAATATAAAATTGAATCACTCCAATTCGAAATTAATGAACAGAGAAATAGATAACTAAAATAAAATAAAATAACAAAATGGAGAAAAAAAAGGAACACACTAGAGACTCAAATCATAGATGCAGGAGACAGAGCAAGAAGAAAAAAACTTGAAAATAAGGGGCATCTCGGAAAAAAGTGGATTCCTCACCAACAGGCACATGGTGAAGAAATAATTGAAAGAGTCCACAGTCTCCCTAAACCCAGCTATCTCCCCCAAAGAAATATCACGTGATATCATCATAAAAAGAGAAATTTATATAAAACAAAAAAATCTTATCCGCTGCAAGAAATTTTAATACAGAGGAAGGAAAATTACAGAATCTTTACTTCGATCAAGACCTTTCTACCAAAACTAGACAAATCAGAAGAGAATTGAAACCAACATTGGACATTCTCAGAACCAAGAACATAAAGTATCGATGGAGAATCCCAATAAAATTTATTCTTATGTATGAAGGAAAAAATCTTATTTTTAATATGGCTAGACAAACTCAGGATTGGCTGAACAATTCTCTAATGAACTCTAAAGAAACAAGTTTAAATGAAGTTCTAGAAAAAAGGCAGGTTTGATGGCAATCTTGATTTGGAAGGGGAAGGGGGTGGGGTAGAGATTGAGCAAAGGGAGTGAGGGAATAGAATTGTTTTTATTTTATTTTTATTTTGTTAACCATATGTAGAGAAAAAGAAAGAAACATAGAATGAGACAGCAGATAAGAACCATTCGGCCCATCTAGTCTGCCCAATTTTCTAAATGCTTTCATTAGTCCCTAGCCTTATCTTATAGTTAGGATAGCCTTATGCCTATCCCACACATGCTTAAACTCCTTTACTGTATTAACCTCTACCACTTCAGATGGAAGGCTATTCCATGCATCCACTACTCTCTCAGTAAAGTAATACTTCCGGATATTGTTTTTAAACCTTTGCCCCTCTAGTTTAAGACTATGTCCTCTTGTTGTGGTAGTCTTTCTTCTTTTAAATATAGTCTCCTCCTTTACTGTGTTGATTTGATTCAATTTATGTATTTAAATGTTTCTATCATATCCCCCCTGTCTCATCTTTCCCCCAAGCTATACATGTTAAGATCGTTTAACGTTTCCTTGTAAGTTTTATCTTGCAATCCATGAACCAGTTTAGTAGCCCTTCTCTGAACTCTCTAAAGTATCAATATCCTTCTGGAGATACGCTCTCCAGTACTGCGTACAATACTCCAAGTGAGGTCTCACCAGTGTTCTGTACAATGGCGTGAGCACTTTCCTCTTTCTACTGCTAATACCTTTCCCTATACAACCAAGCACTCTGCTAGCATTTCCTGCTGCTCTATTATATTGTCTGCCTACCTTTAAGTCATCTGAAATAATTATCCCTAAATCCCTTTCCTCAGATGTTGAGGTTAGGACTCTGTAAATATTCTGTACTCTGTACTTGGGTTTTTACATCCAAGATCTTGCACTTATCCACATTAAATGTCAGCTGCCACAACTGTGACCATTTTTCTAGTTTACCTAAATCATTTGCCATTTGGCTTATCCCTCCTGGAACATCAACCCTGTTACATATCTTAGTATCATCAGCAAAAAGACATACCTTACCTTACCACCTTACCACATACCTTACCACCTTCTGCAATATCACTAATAAAAATATTAAAGAGAATGGGTCCAAGTACAGATCCTTAAAGTTACCCCACTGGTGACAGGACCATGCTTCGAATATACTCCATTGACTACAACCCTCTGTTGCCTGTCACTCAGCCACTGCCTTACCCATTCAACAATATTGGAATCCAAACTTAAAGATTCCAGGTTATTGATTGTTGCATCTTCTATGTGCAATAGTGTCAAAAGCCTTACTGAAATCTAGGTAAGCAACGTCTGCACCACCCTGATCTATTATTTTAGTTACCCAATCAAAAAATCAATTAGATTAGTTTGGCATGATCTCCCTGAAGTAAATCCATGTTGTCTCTGATCTTGAAATCCATGTGATTTTAGATGTTCAACAATCCTATCTTTTAACATGGTTTCAATTACTTTCCCCATTACTGAAGTAAGGCTTACTGGCCTATAGTTGCCTGACTCCTATTACTACCTTTCTTGTGAATGGGCACAACATTCGCTAACTTACAATCTTCTGGGACTATTCCTGTTAACAATGATTGGTTACATAAATTAATGGTTTTGCTAGTACACCACTAAGCTCTTTTAATAACTTTGGGTGTATTCCATCAGGTCCCATTTACTTATTTGTCTTTACTTTTGACAGTTGAAATAGAACCTCTTCCTCTGTAAACTCACATGTAGAAAATGACCCATTTGACCTTTTCCCTAACTGAGGTCCCTTTTCTTAATTTTCATCTGTAAGAACTTCCTTCTTTTGTTTTGAATCTAACTAATCCTTGTTTTACTTTCCTTTTCTCATTTATGTATCTAAAAAATGTTTTGTCCCCTTTTTTTACTGACTGTGCTTTTTTTCCTTTTGTGTGTGATTTGGAAGCTCTTATGACTTGCTTAGCTTCTTTCTGCCTGATCTTATAGATCTGTCTATATTCCTCACTCTGTGTTTTTTTGTAATACTAAATGCTAACTTTTTGTTTTTTTACTATTTTGGCCACATCTGCAGAGTACCACTGTGGTTTCTTAAACTTTCTGCTTTTACTGATTAGCCTAATGCAATTTTCTGTTGCCTTCAGCAGTGCAGCTTTTAAATAATCCCATTTCTCTTGGACTCCATTTAAATTGCTCCAGTCTGATAATGACTCCTCTACACATATTGTAATTTTAGAAAAGTATGTTTTTCTAAAGCCTAAAACATTTGTTTTGTGTGGTGTGACTCAGTCACAGTTCTTATATTAAACCACACTGACTGATGATCACTGCATCCTAAACTTTCACCTATAGCAATATCTGATACCAAATCTCCATTTGTTAACACTAAATCTAGTATGGCCTCTTTACGAGTTGGCTCCTCAACGACTTGTTTTAGAGACAATCCCAGTAGGGAGTTTAGAATATGTGTGCTCTGGCACAAGTAGCTATTTTGGTTTTCCAGTTCACATCAGGAAGAATAAAGTCACCCATGATGATAACTTCCCCCTTCATTATCATTTGAGCTATTTCCTCAACTAGTAGATTATCTAACTCTTCTTTTTGTCTTGGGGGCCTATAAATCACACCTACACAAATTACTGTGTGATTACCAAATTCTAACATTACCCAAACAGAGTATGTTCACCTCACTAACTTTTATTAGGCTAGATTGTATGGTATCCTTCACATACAGGGCCACTTCTCCCCATTTCTTGCCTTCCCTGTCTTTTCTATATAAAGAGTACCCTGGTATTGCTATGTCCCAGTCATTTTTCTTATTATACCATGTCTCAGTAAAAGCGACTAAATCTACATTAGGATTTGTAGAAACAGATGAACAATGCAAATTCTGGAAGTATCGAGTCTCACAGTTGTAATACTAAAAGCTATTTATGAAATATTGTTACACAAGTAATAATTTTATGCACATACTATAACATTTTCTAAGGTATTTTTAAGATTTATAACATTTAGGGATACAAGATATTTTTCACTAAACACACAAATTAGTATAACATAGTTAATAAAGAAGTCTTGGATGATATACTATGGGTTAGTCACTATAAAAGAATATTTTGAGTAATAGAAGAGAGAAGGGATTAATTAAAGGATATATGAGATTGGAATAGCAGATATAGCTGCGTGGAGGGTTTTTGATGATTAATAGCTTAAAGCGGCACTGTCATGCCGAATCCTGTTTTTTTTTTTAACCCCCTCTGGCCTCCACTACATCTAACTAACACCCTAGTCACTCCCAAATGCCCCTAAGCCCCCCCCACATTACCTATTTTTTAATCTTTATTTTCTGCCCCGATCTATATTCAGGGCGCAGCCATCTTTGTGTGGGTAGATGAAGTCCCTGTGGGACAAGACAGACTGACTGACAGACTGTGAGATTCCCGCACATGCCCAGTGAAACACCTGGACATACGAACGGGAATTTCATCTATTCATTCATCAGACAGACGAATGAATGAATAGAAATATCAGCCGAACAAACAAACACTATGTATCTGTGTATCTGTGTATCAGTGTTTGTTTGTTCGTGCAGGTTATTACAAGGAGGTAGCTACCGGCACGCAGCTCTCTCCTTGTAATATGTAACTATAGAAGCGGCAGGGAGCAGTGCTCCCCACCACTTCATAAGCCCCCCCCTTCCCCCAGATCCCCCTCACTCTATGGGGGTCAATATGACCCCCATAATAGCACAAGGGAGATTAAAATCCCCCCAATGCCCCTACTCGCTATACCGCGAGTAGGGGCATGTTCACTAAACAGTGAGCAGCCTGTGGCTGCTCACTGTAAAAAAACAAAACAAAAAAAACAACTATTGGCCCCCACCCCTAAATGACGGGTGGGGGCCCTAAAGTAAAATAAGGGGGGAGACCTATTGTCCCCCCCCTGCCCCCACCCCTGCGCGGCGGGTGGGAGCCATATTGATAATGAGGGGGGGGATCTTCTGCCCCCCTGCCCCCACCCCTGCGTGGCGGGTGGGGGCCATATTGATAATGAGGGGGGGGGGGTACTTACTGTCCTACCTCCACCCCTGGCCCCCACCAAACACAGTGCTCTGTGTCATTTTACACAGTGGGAAAATTCTTTAGAATTTTCCCACGCTGTGTAAAATGACAAAGAGCACTCTGATTGGCTTAAACCCACCAATCAGAGTGTTCTTAGCCTAATTGCAGGGCGGGGCAAGGCTTTATAAGCCCTCCATGGGTGAAGATGGATTATTTTTTTGCGCTTGGGTTTTTTCTTTTTCGTCGGGTTTTTTTTTTTGCGCTCGGGATTTTATTTTTTTTTTAGTTCGACGGTTATGATGGTTTTTTATTTGGCCTTTTTTGGGGCTGAAAAATGAAGATTTGAGAAAAAAGAAGACGTCGAATGGTAAGTTTAATTTTATTTTACAGGTTAGTTATTTTATTCCCCCCTCACTATTTTTTAGGGTGAGGGGGGTAGGTAGGGACTTTTTAATGGGTGGGAGGGGGTGGGTGACTAGGGGCTTGGGGACCCCTAGTCACCTTGGGAGGGGGGGAAATTGACTTAGGGGCCTCCACCCGCCGCCCAGGGGTGGCGGTCGGGGGGGGGGGGTCCCCCCCCATTGTCTTTATGGACAGTAGGTGGACAGTAGGTTCCCCCCCATTGTCTTTATGGCCCCCACCTGCAGCCCAGGGGTGGGGGCCAGGGGAGAGGACAGTAGGTTCCCCCCCCTCATTATCATTATTGCCCCCGCCCAGGGGTGAGGGCCGGGGGGGAGGACAGTAGGTCCCCCCCCTCATTATCATTATGGCCCCCACCCGCCGCCCAGGGGTGGGGGCCAGCGGGGGGGGCAGTAGGTCCCCCCCCATTATCATTATGACCCCCACCCACCGCGCAGGGGTGGGGGCCGGGGGGGACTTTAGGTCTCCCCCCTTATTTTACTTTAGGGCCCCCACCCGTCGTTTAGGGGTGGGGGCCAATAGTTGTTTTTTGGGGTTTTTTTTACAGTGGGCAGCCACAGGCTGCTCACTCTTTACCAGACATGCCCTTACTCGCGGTATAGCGAGTAGGGGCATATTATTTACTAATACTAAGTAACCTTTACTTAGTATTAGTAAATGTGGCTGAAAGACCAATTTAGATCTTTCAGCCTTTTAGTAGATAGCTCCCTGATACCGTGGGAATTAGGGAGTTATCTACTAAGCGGCTGCAAGATGCAGCCACAGCAATCAATAGGATCGGAGTTTCATTCATTCGAATGAAATTCCGATCTGAATAAAGTGCCGAATTGCGTTCTAAAAGAAACGAACATACTGTTCTTATTCAGTTAGAACGCAATTCGGCAGTTTTGTGTAAAGTGACACAGAGGAAAGGTAAAGATCATGGGAAAATTGCTCTGACCAGCGGAAATGAAGCACACTTTGCTCCTCCGCTGGTCAGAGCTGGTCAAGCGGAGGAATCCTCCATAAGGCAAAGAGTCCCTACTTTGTCTTATGATTTTAAAGAAAACTAAAGAAGACAGGAAGAAAAGAAGAACAGATTCTGAGAGAGGGGGAGAAGAGGAAGAGATTGAGGAAAGGTAAGTTCGGCATGACAGTGCCGCTTTAAATGAAAATTTGCAAGAGATAACACTAAACACGATTTTGTGTATATAGAATTACACCTTTTTTCTTTTTTTGTTGTTGTTGTTTGCACTATCCCCTATAACTCTGAGAATATCGTTGATACTGTTTGCTGAATATAGTAAGGGAATATGAATGAATATAATATTTCATGGGTATTGAAGGTGTAAAAACAGTTTTGAACCCTGGTAATATAATTAATGACTGTAGGAGGCCAATTTTTATAGGGTTTACATTTATTAGAAATAACTTAGAGAAGATATCTAAGGATAATCCTCCCATCTCCACCCCTACTTTTTATAATTGTTAGCGTGGTTTTACAAATAATAGGCTTTTCTAAATAATAGGCGTGAAGGTGCACTTGCCCCAAAGCAAACAATCATCTTTCTTAGGAAGAGATGGGGGGTAGAGATAATCTCTTCATGATCCCATTTTTGGGATTGGTTTTGGGCTGTGGCCAGAGTAGGGCTTTGGGGGGTTTTGTGTATAGAAGAGATGGTTTTCCAGATCTTCTTAGGTTTTTGTTATGTGTTATGGGTTTATTGTATGTTATGTCTGTGAGTGGTCTCCTCCTATGTAAAAATCTGATCTTGATAGGTGGATGAAGAATCTAATAAAGCCCGAGGTTTAAATATTACCCAAAAGAGAACAGCCTTATATGATTGGCTTTTTAAACAGAATATAGAAGGCTGTGGAGTACAAGAGACCCATTGGAAGGGCGTCGATGCAAATAGATTTAGTACAAAAAATGACCAATATTATTCATGCATCTCTAAAAGATAAAAAAAAATGTGGAGTAGCCATTATTATTTCTAAAAATGTTAAATACAAATGGATACATAAATATTGTGATCCTAAGGGAAGAGCAATCTTTTTTTAATATGTAAATAGAATTATATGATTTTTTCTTTTCTAAATATATCTGCGCCAAATGATAGAAAGGTCCATTTTTTTCAATACTATAATGAACAGATTTATTGATAGATTCATACTTTTAGGTGATTTTAATTGCATTATTGACGTAGAAAAAGATAAATCTTGCTTAAAGGATAAAATAATAGATCCAAAAGTAAGAGCCTGATCGTTACAAGAATCTATTGGGAAATTTAAACTGTATGACATTTGGAGAACATTAAACCCTTATGGAAAGGAATTTACCTATTATCCTCATAGACATCAAAATTTTCTAGATTGGATATGATCATGACATTTGGTGATACAGTTAGGAAATGTAAAGGAATAAAAATCAAATAGGGTGATTATATCAGAACATAATCCAGTAGTTATGGAAATTGAAATAGATTACATTTTAAGAAGAGGTGGCTGGAAACATAGAGACACAATGTTGAATGATAAGAAAACACTAAATGAAATCATTTTGAACTCTAACCTGTATTTTAAAGAGAATCTAAATGATGAGGTTAGTTTGGGGAATGTTTGAGCAGCATATAAATTCCTAATTGGGGGATGTTTAATTAAAATAGAGGCTCAAAATAAGAAATAAAATTATCAATCCCTGACAGATCTTTATTTGAAACTTGACGATCTAGAGAAAATCCTCCCAAAGGAGCAACAAACCCTCTTAGAAATTGATCAAACTAAGAGTAAAATTAGAGATTTTATGTTAAAGAGAGCAAATAAAATCCTAACTAAATGGAAGCAGAAGTAATTTTACCTGGGAAACAGAGCAGATACATTTTTATCTAATCAACTTAAAAACTCTAATCTTAGGGAGAGAATCTTCGGAATTTCAACAGAAAATAACTCTCGTAGGTCACCCAATCAAATAGCCTCCTAATTCAGAGAGTATTATTCTTCATTATATAATATTAGGGATCTTTAAAAAAATGGATCGCAAATCGCAGACTATCTAAAAAATCCAAATATACAAGCTCTGGATATTAAACATAGAGAAGCATTACAAAAGCCAATTGAAATGAAAGACGTTATCCAAGCTTTTAACAGATTAAAGAAGAACAAATCTCCCGGCCCAGACAGCTTCTCTAATTATTTGTATAAAAAATGTCTCATTATTATTAATATTATGATATTTATAGAGCACGGTCAAATTCTGCAGCGCTTTACAATGGGTGGACGAACAGATATGTAGTTGTAACCAGACATGTTGGACACACAGGAACAGAGGGGTTGAGGGCCCTGCTCAATGAGCTTACATGCTAGAGGGAGTGGGGTAAAATGACACAAAAAGGTAAGGATAGTATTAGACTCATGTAATATCTTCCAATCTAACAAATGTATTTAATGACATTTTGGAAAATAAACCATTCCTTAGAGAAATGTTGCAAGCGATCATTATTCCAATCCCTAAACAAGGGAAAGATACAAAACTAGTATCAAATTACAGACCCATTTCCTTAGTCAACAGTGATATCAAAATTTTCTCTGCAACAGAGGGCATGACATAGCAAAGAGTACCAACAATACGGCTTGGTTACAAAACACACCTTAAACTAGGTTCAAAAGGATGTAGAAGCTCACGTTAACAGATGTTTATTGGCAATCTATTGTGTAAACTCTTGGAAAAGTGTCTGATGGACCTACACTACGAGGCCTGACAACACAGTTAGGGCTACGCACAGAAGTGAAATGACAACATTGGAAATGTAACAAATGTGACATGTTAACCAACTAGAAAAGTTCTTCATGACCTAGGCCACACTTACAAAGCGTATACCTCGTGTTCATGTGAGAAATACCACATAGAAAACAATTGTGTAACTGATTGCCCTCTTAATGTTTTAAGTACCTGTAAATTACTGCAAACTATTGTAACCAAATGTAACCTACTGTAAAACGGAAACCTGTAAACTGCAAAAAAAAATAATTTTTTAAAAATGTCTCTGCAATTTTAGCAGATAGAATCAAAAAGATAATAGCACTTATAATTCATAAAAATCAAGTTGGTTTTGTTAGTGGTCATCAACCATATGGTAACACCGGGATTGATATAATAGATTTTGCTATAAATAACAAAAAAATCTCTGGTAACTGTCTCTCTGGATGCACAAAAGGCATTTGATCAGGTAGACTGGATTTTTTTGGAGTCAGTTCTTAAAAGATGTAATTTTTGTGAAAATACAATAAAATTTATCATGGCGGGGCGTGGCTTACCGCCGGAGCTGAGCAGACGCATGTAGGAGCAGCTCCCGGCGAGAAAACCGTGTAGAGCAACGGATAAGCGGAACACCGAGCGATCACCTACCAGACTGCATTGAGCAACCACCCACGATGTCACAGCGGCAGAAAACGAAAGCAGGGAAGTCGGACCGAGCCTCGTTCTTCCTTACAAAGACCGCGGCCTCCAAGCAGGGTGAGGAGCAAGATGGCGGCGGCCAAAACAGGCGGGAACACCCACCCTCACCTCAGACACCACCTGCACATGCAGAAAATGAACAGCCCCTGACTATGAGAGCCATCAGGGAAATGATGGCTGAATTCTCAGACAATATACAGCTGAATATAAAAAAACAGCTCCAAGTACTGACAGCTGAAATACAAAAGGACATCCATGACATTGGCAACCGCACCTCCCAGATAGAAACAAAGATGGATGAGTATGCAGTGGCACACAACAGCTTAGCTGACAAACTGCAGGAACTGGATGACTCCCTAGAAACACACAGGTTAAAACTAGCAGACATGGAGGACAGAGCTCGGAGGAACAACCTCAGATTCCGGGGGATCCCGGAATCTGTACCAAATGCAGAACTGCACAACTATTTGTTTGACATGTTCCAGAGGCTCACACCAGAAACCCACCCGGATCAACTCATCATAGACAGAGCATACAGGCTACGTAGACCAAAACACCTGCCCACGACAGCCGCACGAGACGTAATTGCGAGGATTCATTTCTTCCACGCCAAAGAGAGGATAATGAAAGCCAGCAGAAAAGCGGGTATGCCAGAAGCCTACTCTTCCATCAAGATCTTTGCGGATCTCTCAGCGGACACGCTACACTTCAGAAAAACCATGGGGCCGGTCACCTCCGCCCTGCGGGAACACAACGTGAACTACCGCTGGGGCTACCCGGCTAAACTCCTAATCTCTCACCACGACGCAATACACCCCGTCAACACAGTGGCGCAAGGTGTCCAGCAGCTGAAAGAATGGGGAATCCCGATCCAGAACCTACACCCCACCAAAGCAGCTAAAGTTCCGCGGATGTCCCCGGAGTGGACAACACAATGAGATCTGAACATTCCTACCGACATACGTAACTATGTGATGTATATAACAGTTGATAGATAGATGCATAACTCCGTTAGAGTTGTTCCTGGGAAAGCAAACTGGTTGACATTCTTCTATAATCTATGTACTGATAGTTGATATTTACCGGAGTACATGTGCAAGGCATAACAGAAAGCGCTGTTGCTGGCTAGAACCTGTCTCTGCCCGATTAGAGGTACTAAAACACCCCCTACCGGGGGCTGAACAGTACTGAGTACTATATCCTATACAATATGCTATTATTGAGTACAAGTAGTTATAAGGTAAAGAATAGAATGTTAAAAGCGGGTTGCACACATTGTTAACTATCATAGTTGTATGTTAATACTGCTCACGGTTTTTGGCTTTTTCTATGGTGCACGACCTAGAGAATTGCCGACTTCACCTCCACCCCCCCGGCAGCTGCGCCTCCACGCTAGGCAGCAGGGTACGGCCCCACTTCTTGGAGCCGAAATGGGTACCTTACCCACTTGTTCTTTTCACCCCAGTTTCCCCCCCTACTTACTTCCCTCAATCCCTGACTGGTCACATTCTAAGACTTCACAGTGGCGCGCGCAGTGCACAACCCCCACTCAGGACAATTGCAGTAACCTGTTATAATTACGGAGGGACGAAAACCGACCCGCCTAAGCACACTGTTTCCAACTGACACTCCTAAATGAAATTACTAACCTATAACGTCAAGGGGCTGAACACCCCAGGTAAACGAAGGCTACTATTGCAAGAACTAAAAGAACAAGGGATCGACATAGCCTGTATCCAGGAGACACATTTTAAAAAGACTAGGGCCCCTGAAATCTTCACTAAACTATACCCAAACCAATACCATGCCCTGTCAGAAAGTAAAACGAAAGGGGCCTCCATCTTCATACATAAAGATCTGGCATTTCAGGAGCAGGCGAAATTAGTAGATCCCCAAGGGAGATATGTTTTACTAGTAGGTCTTTTTAATAATGCCCAATATACCTTGGTATCTGCCTATTTCCCAAACACTGGGACGGAAAAATACCTCAGACGTCTTCTGCAAGACATAGATAAATATAGACAAGGTAGACTGGTGCTCTGCGGAGACTTTAATTTCTTCACCTCCCCAGAGGTCGACACGACTGCCCTACCCCAGGGGACGAGACGGGCGATTGTAAACTCCATGTGCAAGGCAGTGTCCAAACTGCTCACACTACACAACCTATATGATAGTTGGAGAGTGCTGCACCCAGGGGAAAGAGACTACTCCTTTCACTCGACGCCACACAACACGTATACCCGTATAGACACTTTTTACGTGGATCAACCCACATTAGCACAAGTCTCTACATGCTCTATGGGTGACATCACTTGGTCAGACCATAGCCCAGTGTACTTGGTGTTACATGACGCTTTTCAGTTTAAAGGACGGGGGACTTGGAGAATGAATGACTCCTTACTCCGAGACGATGACTTTATGAACCAAATAAAAGCTGAACTCATTGCTTACTTTCAGACAAACTCCACTGGGGAAGTGTCAGAACAGACTGTGTGGATGGCACACAAAGCCGTAGTATGAGGCCTATTTATCAGGCGCTCGTCCTACCTCAAAAAACAAAGACAAACCACCATACTTGAGTGCCAAACGAAACTAGCGGCCCTTACCACCCAAAACAAACGATCCCCCTCCCCACTTCTAGCAAACCAGATCCAATCTCTGACCAACCAGCTACATCAGTTACAGGCAGCCAAAACTGCGTCCCTACTTCATAAAATGAAGGCAACCACATATCACCATAGCGGGAAAGCGACAAAACACCTGGCCAATCAGCTGAGGGAGAAATTGGCAGCCTCCAAAATAGCTTACTTACAAGGCCCAGGTGGGTCCAAAATACAAAACCCCCTAGATATCACCCAAGAGTTTGCAAAATATTACTCTGACTTGTATAATTTGGGAGATCACCCGGGTACAACCCCCTTAGATGAAAACGCTATCCAAAGGTACTTGGACCAGCTCCCTCTGCCCAGTATAGACAGATACCAAAGGAACGCACTACTTGAACCCATCACTCTTAATGAGGTTCTACACACCATACAACACCTCCCTACAGGGAAATCCTGAACAAAACGTTCGCGGAAATACTTGGCCCCAGACTCGTACAAGTGTTCCAGAAGGCCACGGACACAGGAATACTCCCAACTGAGATGCTCTTAGCAACGATAGTGACCATACCCAAACCGGGAAAACCTGCTGACCAATGTAAGAATTTCAGACCCATTTCGTTGTTAAATACGGATGCTAAGATCTACGCCAAGATCTTAGCGACCAGAATAGGGAAAATACTACCGACACTCATACATGACGATCAAACGGGATTTGTGTTGGGGAGACAGGGCCTGGACAATACCCGGAAACTGGCTCTCGTGTTAGAGAGGATGAGGAGGTCCGGCCCAGGCGGACTGCTCTTAGCACTAGATGCCGAAAAAGCGTTTGACCGCCTGGGTTGGCCTTTCCTCCACAGGGTGCTGCAGAGATATGGTTTTCCACGCCAACTCATCACACAGATATTTGCTCTATACTCACACCCCACTGCAAGGGTACTACAAGCGGGTTTTCTGTCTAACCCCTTTAAAATTACTAATGGCACACGACAGGGGTGCCCCCTGTCCCCCCTACTTTACGTTTTAACCCTGGAACCACTACTCACAGGGATCAGAACCCGAACAGAAATAACAGGGGTGGACTGGCATGGCCGCCAAATAAAGATAGGGGCGTTCGCAGACGATATCCTGCTGTACATCTCCCACCCCAAGAAATCTCTCCCACATATAATGCGACTCATACATGAATATGGGACACTGTCCTATTACTCCCTCAATACCTCCAAAACGCAAGCATTGGGTCTACGCCTAGACCCACAAGTCTTGGCGAACCTACACAAAGACTACCAATTTGAATGGAGGAAAAAGGACATAAAATATCTAGGCCTGACATTTACTAAAAACGCCACAGATATGTTCCCAGCGAACTATAACAGGGTTTGGGAGGACTGTCTTAAAACAATGAAGGGCTGGGACCGGTTATTTTTTACTTGGTCGGAGCGGATAGTAGCACTAAAAATGACCATACTACCGAAACTTCAATACTTATTTAGGAACCTACCCCTACGAGTATCACCATCATACTTCAATACCATCCAGGCCAAACTGCTACAATTCACTTGGGGAAAGAGACGGGCACGAATCTCACAAAAAGTGCTCCTAGCCCCCACAGCACAAGGGGGAATGGCATTCCCTAACGTCAAATCGTATTACCACGCTGCAGTACTGTCCTCCCTCTTGCCACATTTGACCAAGGACAACCAACCCCAATGGGTGGAGATGGAGCATATGGCCATCTAACCCTTCCAAATCCCCAACCTGCTGTGGTTACCAAAAAAGGACAGGCCGGCCACCCCACTCCCACCCGCCCAACTTGCATTGGCACTGCAGGTCTGGGAAACACATAGAGTGCATTTCGAAACAGGATACCCCCTATCAATGGCAACCCCAATCGAAGCCATAACATACTGCATCCCAACGTTCCATGCGACACCATGGAAGGCCATGGGGATCACCCACCTGTCACACATGTGTGAAGCAGGCAAACTCATGAACTTCGCTAAGCTCCGATCCACCTACAACATCCCACAAACATCACAATATTCGCACCTTCAACTCCACTCCCTTTTCACCACACGAAACAAGACAAAACCCCCGGGCCAACTCATGCCGGTGGAACCCTCTACCTGGGAGAAAATAGGCGTATCGGGGAAAATGCCACCCACATTCAAGCCACTCTCGGACTGTTACAAAACTCTCCAGACATACATACCCTTCCACAAATCATCACAAGCACTACATTGGGACTTGGACCTAGGGACCAAAGTTCCCGAAGCTAAATGGAAACACATTATATCCTCCACGAAGAGGTTGATTAAATCAGCCCCACTGTTGGAACAACACCGAAAAACGTTATATAGGTGGTACATGGTCCCGACCCGCATACATAAACAATACCCTCACTCGTCTCCGTCATGCTGGAGATGCATAGGAGACCACAGAACAGTCATGCACATCTGGTGGAGATGCCCCCGCCTTGTTAGATTTTGGAAAGAGGTACACAAGCTCATTACCGAAGCCACCAACACTGACATACCCTTCGAACCCGCAACCTTCTTGTTGCTAGACCTCCCGAGTACCGTACCTACTGGGGCGAAGAAACTGATATGCCATGTTCTATTAACCGCCCAAAAACTAATAGCCAGACTCTGGAAATCTGACAAACACCCCAACATCCTGCCCCTTATACAAGAAATAGACAAACAACTACTCTATGAAACACACTTCGTTACGACACACCCGTACCCACAACGCTTCCTGAGTACATGGGAATTATGGCGCTCCTGGAGAGCGGGCAACCCAGACCAATGAACTCCCATAGAGAATTACTGGCCATAGGGCCACCCCCACTCACTAATCCCCACACCATAAAAGAGGATGCATAAGCCATAACCCCACTATAAACCATCACGAAAAGGGACAACCCAGGATCGGGGAGCTAGGACACTAAAGGGAGCCGGCGACGGCCGAACAAACAGGGTCTTAGGGACTGGTAGGGTTTGACGACCTGGTAACAAAGTACAGGGCACTGCGGAGATTGGCTCATAATGTGTTGGCTCAAATTGACCAGTGTAAATGTGATGTGTTCTGTGACACATACTGTAAAACACAACTGATTGTATGCAAAAAATGCAATGTGACTACCCCCCCCTTTTTTCTCTTCTGTATCCCCCCCCCTAATATTATGTTGAAAAACAATAAAATACAAATTTCAAAAAAAAAATGTATCATGGCTCTGTATTCCGATCCGTCATCTAAGATTGTAGGTCAAGGCTTGTCATCACAGTGGTTCAGAGTTAGGAAAGGTACTAGACAGGGCTGTCCATTGGCCCCTCTTCACTATTTAATGACTCTAGAATCACTGGCAGCAAGAATTAGAGATAAAAAATAATAATGGGAATCTCTATTGGTGATATAGAAAATAAGACTAGCCTTTACACGGACGATATTCTACTGACACTAACGGACCCTGAAATCTCGATAGAAACTAGGGGAACATTTCAATTACAAACTGAATATTAATAAATCACAAGCGATGACAGTAAGAATTAATGAAAATAGAGGTATAGCACTAGCCATGAGTTTCCATTTATGTGGAAAGACAAATTTATTGATTACTTAGGGATTAAAATTACAAAGGATCCTCTATTTTTAAGATATTGGCACTGTCAATTCCCACACATTTCTGTCAAGACCTTTTAAATGATCTCTTTAAGAAATTGAGAGAATGGAAAACATTTTCCATATCATGGATGGGTAAACTTAATGTCATCAAATGCTGCACCTACACGCTATCCACTCACACTCCTCTAGATCTGAAGTGTTCATAATTGAACAAAAGATATTGGATAAAGAATTATAATATTATCTTATGGGTGAATAATGCAACAGTTAAAAAAAATCATAGATAATTCCAAAAGGAATTTTTTTTATTAAAAATATTATTTCCAGCCTTACCTGCAAGGTCCCCCGACGATTCAGCCCCAACAACTAAACGTGATCTAAAGATCCTCCTGGCGGATATACAAAAACTGCTGGCAGCTGACGTTGCCTTGGTCAAAAAGGACATACAACAAGTTAAAGACCGTGTCACTAAGACAGAGGACATTATGACAGAAGTCCAAACTAATGTGGCCACCCTCCAGGACTCGGTGCTGCGCCTTCAAACTGAGCAACACGTGCTGGCCGCCCAAATTATGTCCATGGAGGACCGACAATGCAGAATGCATGTCAAAATACGGGGGATATCCGCCACTGTCTTGACAGAAGAGCTGCCACATTACACCAGGCACTTGCTCTCTACAATCTTGCCGCACACAACAGCCAATAAAATAATTGTAGACGGAATAAACCGTGTCACTGGCACCGCACAGTGGCGAGGGATGTTATAATGCGCTGTGTGACTGTGAATGACAAGATCCGAATCATGATGGCCCTGAAGGGCAAGATGCCCTTGAATTTGAGAACTCTCAGCTGCTCTTCTTCCAGAACCTCACCAGAGCTACCCTACTCCGGCACAAGTCCTTCGGACCGGTTACAACATCACTGAGAGAAGCGGGAATACCCTACAGATGGGAGCACACCAGTTCTCTACTGGTCCATCGCGAGGAGACTACTCACTCCCTCACAGCTATGTTGGGGGCGTCTCCCTTCATGGAAGCATTAGGACTATCTCCACCACAACCACCGTCATGACAGGTGAACAACGAAGAACCCTGGGAATCAGAAGGCACCACCTCTAGAGACTCGAGGAGACACCAACCACCTTACCCAGATACCTGAAGCAGACTAGGGACTGTGCTGTCCACACATGGCATTAGACCACGTTTTTATTATATGATGTTTACTGTTTGCTTTTGTTGATATCCAAATAACAAACTTTACTAATTAGCGCTCCACTTGGCTACCAGGCAGGCCGACAACCCTAGCCGCATAACCAAAAGCTGGTCCTGACGCAGTGCTTGGCTACTACACCTTACATTAACATAATCACTTACAACAGGCCGCACAAGACAAAATGGCGCTTGCCTGCTCTTCCCTATATCCCTAGTTAGTGGTATCTCTCTACCCACTAACCAAACTCAGTTGGAACAGCACACTAGCCATGAAGCACAAAAAGGATATTGGCACCATCATTTCCCACACATTTCTGTGAGCTACACTAGTCTCAACCATCTACACCCACACTCACCGAAAAAAAACTACCAAGCATGTCAAATTAGCCTGTAGTACCCCGGGAGTACAATTGATACCCACTTACAATATATGTTTCCAGCTCAACCCGGATCTGTAACCGTTGAAAAGTGCTATGACTCACCTGAAATTATTAATATGTCTGACAAATGTAAGTTTTCCTTATTGTAACGCAACCATATGTTTCTACCTGAATTTTCGCATGTTTGCTTTACAAATTGTCGCTACCAAACATGAAAAATAAAGAATTAAAGAAAATATATATATATTATTTACTTCTGGTTGAAATTGAAGAATGGCATCGGTTTAAAGGATAAGAAAATATCGCAAACTGCTATAGAAATAATATAATATTCCGGATATGAATAACATGAGGTGGTATAATAACAAAAACTTAAAGGTTGAAGAGTTTTTAGAGGGTGCTCAATTTAAAACATACAAACCATTAATAACAGAGCATGATATTCCAAGTAAGCATTACTATAACTTGATTCGTATTAAAAACTGTTTCTAGGCATCTTTTTACTACCTTGAATCCTAAGACTATGGAATCATTAGTGACCCTCTTTGCTGCTCATTCAAATAAAAATATATTTGCAAAAGCTCATTATTTTTTTAAATATTTGGAAAAGATAACTAAAGTCAGAGCTCAAATATCATGGTCTAATGATCTTGGAATAGTGTTGGATAATAATGCATGGGGAAATAGCTGGATACAGGTCGGGAGAGTTACTCACTGTCTAAATATCCAGGAATTACAGTATATAATAATGCATAGATGGCATTTTGTCCCCACTAGAATGCATAAAATTGACCCTAATCACTGCTCCTTATGTTGGAGATGAGGTTTATGTGAAGGAACATTTGAACATATTTGGGGGTCCTGTAGTTTAGTCCATAACTGTCACAGCTCCCAGGTCCTCTGGCGGGCAGCCGGTCTCCCTCCGTTCCATTCCCAAGCAGATGCAACGTTTTTAGGAACGTCGGCCACTGCGGTTCAGATTTTTTATAGGAAACTTATCTTCACACACAACAATGATGGCCCCAACGTGCGTCCTAAGGAGGGTTATTTAAACCCAAATTACCTTTTTGTCAGTGCCCTTATTTAAACCCAAATTACCTTTTTGTCAGTGCCCTGTCATGGTTTCCACTAGCTGGTTATCCGAGAGTGTGTTACTGATTGCGTTTTTCTGGTATCCTTGACTTCTAGCTTTACTCATCGTTGTGTCTCATTCTGTGTCCCTGACCTCGACAAGTATTTTGACTATTTTCAGGTACGTTAAGTCCGGCCATTCTAAGGTCCAGTTAGACGTTATCCTTAGTCCTAGGTGTGATACTATTCTAAATGTTCTAAATGAAGTTTGTATATGTAAGGTTGGAGAAATGTGATAGAAATTATAAATGTATAAATTTTTGGTTATCCAACTATGTTTTTGAATAACTATGTAAAAAAAATAAAGAATAAATAAAACAACCAGTGCTGTTATTACAGTAACAGTAAATCTCTGTAATGGACATAGAGGATGTAGCAACGGTGTGTATAGGGGATGTGGTGTGTATTTAGGGAATGTAGTGCATGTATATGTGTGTAGGGGATGTAATGTGTGTGTTCATGGAATATAGTGCACGTGTATATGGAATCTAGTCTGTGTTGGAGAGGTAGTGTATGTCAAATTGTGGGATTGGATAGGGACTGTATTGTGTGGGAGGGGTGAGTGATAACAGTCATATATTTTTATTATTACTTTTATTTACCTTTTTCTGTGTTTGATTTAACTTTATAGTCTTCCACCTGCTTCTTACATTAAGCTAGGGAAGAGGGACATGGTGATACCTAGTGGTCTTATGGTGAGGGACTCTAGCCTGCATCTCCACTAGGTGCAGACTGAGCATACTCTTCTTGCAAACTCCAGCGGAAGTCTTGCCATGGTAACATGAGACACTGATCTGACAGGAATACTCACAGCCTGAAGAACACACACACACTACATTTGAGGTAAAAAAAACTGTGTCCTATATTCTGAAATACAGAAATCTGTGTGAAGACCAATCACAGTTTAAATACAAGGGATTTACATGCATTGCAGCTCAAGGGCAAATGGGAGTGGCTTGTCTATCCCAGCCAATCCTACTGCTCCAGCATTAGAAATTGGTAGCAGATGGCATTATTAGTAGGGATGAGTGGGTTGGTACATGCATGTCTTTGTAGTATTCAATACCTCATGTTATATATATAAGACTTCAACAGAACCCACCTGATTCAAAGCGTCTATTTCTGCATCCACTTCATACAAACACTTATCCAGCACTTGCTTCCATTTATCCACATCATCGATACGATCTGAAAGCCGGGTCCTGTTATCTTGCTCATCCCAGTGAGTCTAAGAATCAAGAAAGGAAGTTATTGAGTGCATGAGTGGAAGTTCTCTGTCCATTAACTATAACTATGAATGCAAGCTACTGAGAAGATTATCCAAATTATGTCTGGTGGGACATGGATTTCCATTCTGGTCAAAAAGTAAAGCAATAGAGCAGCAATGTCTATTGTCCACCCTTGGACTTCCAGTTGCTGGTAGCAAAAAATTATGGTTATGAAGAACAAAAAAATGCTTTTTGGCCCACCACATGTTGACTTACTGAGAACTATGGGTGAGCAGGATGATCTATTCCTACTTTTATTATACATTCAGCACTACCATTACTATTTGAGAAGGCATCCTATTTATCTCAATTAAACATTACAAATATAAATCTAATTTAACATACACAAAACATTCTGAAACGACTTTGTTTTTCAGTTATCTGTGTATAGTTAAGTTATTAATTTAAATGACTTGATGAAGCCAGGTTTACACCCCTAGTACAAATAGAAATACTATGGTCTTGCAAAAAAGAAGGTGGGTCTTGTGTGAGAGATAGATAGGAGATGTACTAAACAGAGTTATAAGTCAGGCAAGGTATTATCACAAATGAGTATACACCACACTAGCTATTTTTCAGTTTTCCACCTTCTGAGCACCCTAGACCAAATTTCCAAGATGGGTGAGCATGCCACGGTGAGACCAACCAAGTCCTGTGGTTTTATCGTGTGATGCAGGATTTCCCCTCAGTCCTCAGGATTTCCCCTCAGCTACAGGCGCTGTGTGCCAGGAATCTTTAGGGGAGGGAAGGTAATCAGTTTGGTAGTTATCATCACTGACATACCCAGCTAGCAGTTTGCTCGCTCAACTCCATGCCTCTCCCAATTTCAGGCGTACCAATGTTGTAGAATTATTAGGCCTCTATAAATCTGTAAGGCCCCTTTAAATCCTCTTGCTATACCTCTAAGAGGCCCCCATGGTTTTACAAGAAAGCTTTGTCTATAGAACATAGAATTTGCATGCCAGCAAGAAATAGCTTTGATAAAATGTGTATTTACTAAAAGCCTTGAAACCTAACCTTGAGAAACTAACAAGTGCCAGCTACGCTCTAAATGGATAGCTGCCAAAAGGCCCCTCCCGTCGAGTGAGCTCCTCATGTTAGCAAAATGGCGCTAAAACCTGGAGGAGATAATCATGACGGGGATAGTGACCTAAGAATGGGGAGGGCATTTTACTAACATCTTAGCACCTAAGCCAATTAACAATGTCTATTTGTCTATATCTTGATTTTCTTCAGTGATGTAATAATGCCTTTAAAAGGGTCTGCGCACCCATTTTCTGTCAGAAGCCATTAAACTTCTCCGAAGTTCTTTCATTAACCTGAACTTTGTGTCTCAGTGTGAATTTACTTCTGCGTGCACGCAACTTTATTATCTTTAATTTGGACAGGAACAGATAGTCATTCAAACTAATTGGTTTGCAGTAAATCAACTACAACAGCTGGCGCCCATAACGTGGGGCTCTGGGCTATGTCCTGCCTGGGCAGCTGTCCAAGAAGACGCTGGGGGGGCTGAATCCTGGGGGAAGGAAAAGAGCCTGATCACCTCTGAATACACGGTAGAGATTGCTGCAGCACCTAGCCGGTATGTTCATGCCCCTGTGATTGACCTGTCCCAGTGTCTGTGACTGCTACCGAGAGGACATCAAAGTCAGGTAATAACTTGCCCAGAGTCTTTGTATTGTTAATGATACCTAGTTTACCTGCATGTTGACTATCTGTTGCCTGGGTGTGTTTTTTTGTATTGGTTTGTGTTTAACTTAGCACCCGGGGAGTGTAAGTGCCTGTTTAACTCTTTTATGAGCCATGTAGCTGTGGCTGTAAGGAAAAAGAGTAGGGGGAATCTGTGGAGGGTGGTAGACTCACTGCTCCCTGGGGGTTCCCCATAGTGTCACTTTGACCGCTTAGCTAGCCTCATCGGACACTTCTTCTTGGTAAAATTCCAGCCTCGAGCGCTGAGGCAGGTAAGATTCCAATTCTTTAGGCTATACAGGATTCGGGTTGGAAGCTGTTGCTGTTTCCTGTGGCTGCTGGTAGTGAGACTTGCGGGTGGGTCCGCAACAGGGACACTACGAGGTTGAGGGAGGTGGCTTTTGGCCACACGAGTAAAGGCAAGGGATAAAACTGTTGAACTTATTTGAACTGTGATGCATGCACTGTATTTACACTGAAATGTTATTGTCTTAATTGTCTGTCACACAGATTCCTGTGTTTACTTTTATCTTACTCACTGTACTATTTACACTTTCCCCTCCTATTTCTCTTTCTCTGTTGAGAGAAGTGATTGGTCACACACTTCTCGCCACGCTCCAATCCGCGGCTACCACGGGTAGGCGGAATCAGTGACTAGTCTACGTTTTGGGAAGACGTACTTAAAGAGCTTGCTCTTAAAGTAGCAGTCGAGCACGGTAGACGTTCTGTTCCTTTCTCTCTCTATATCTGGGACGCCTTGTATAGGGAATATGGGACAGAAACTGGGAAAACCCGATAAGGGTTGGCTAGCACGAGACTTGGTAGAAGATAGGGAAGGTGAAGAGATGGTTAAGAAGGTTGATAAGATTGCTAAAGCATGTGGAATCACGGTACCCCCGTGTGGTAGATTGCAGCCAGAAAGCTGGCGTAAGATACTGACAGAGAAGAAAGGCAAGTTAATGGACAATGATTTAGTCCGCACAGCGGAAGCCTGGTACAGAGTAGCCAAAGCCATCCAGCAAGAGGGATGGATTGAACAAGAGGTTGATTACAAGGGTGTGAAAATGTTTGTGTACCATAAGAATTTTGTCGCTGGAAATTCTCCCCAGCACGCGCCTAGTTATGGCGCACATGAGGTGGCCACCCCTTTCCCTGTCACTACCCCTGTTTGCCCTGTCCTGAATGCCGATGGATCTGTATTTTCCCCTCCATCGATCTCCCAACTCCCATCATCCTCATCCCTTCCTTTACCGCGCCCATCTTCCTCCAGTCCATTGCACCCCTCCAACATGCCCTCCTCCCGCCCGTCCTTTCCTGCCGTCCCACCTGCCTATTCATCTTCCTCCTCCCCTCCTACCGACCCACCCTCTCCATTTTCTCCTCCTCCTACTACTCCCTTACTTCCTTCTTCCGTACTCTCAGACCCTCCTACTCCACCTTTTCCTCCTCCCACTCCTCCAGCTCCTCCTACTCCACCTTTTTCTCCTCCCACTCCTCCAGCTGCTCCTACTCCACCCGTTCCCAGTCCCTCCCCCTCCCCGTCACATCCTCTCCCTAATCCCTACCCACCGCCACCGCCCTACGCCTATTCTGCCTATACGCCCGCCCAAATGCCTTGGCCCTTAGCCTATGCCTATTCCACACTTCCGCCTCCCCAGCCCGCCTATCCCGTACCTCCCATAATCACACAGCCGACACCGATTACACCTGCCCACATTTTGCCCACATCCAATATGGCCGCCACCTCCTCACTTAACCCGAGCGCAACTTCCTTCCACGCCTCCAATATGGCGTCCCCCAGTAACATAGCCCCTCTTATGCCCGTTCTTCTGAATGATCTGCTACCTCCAACCCATAGCTCACCAGCAGCCCCGGCTGGTGGAGTGCCCCTTCTACCCCCGGCCCTGTCACCACAGGTAGTTCCCTCCCCGGGAGTCCGGATAGCACATGCAGATGAATTTGACACGGTAAGCTCCCATGGTTACCAGTCCCCACCAGACTCCAGGGAGGTTTCGCCCCAACCTCCGCGACGTTCTCTTAACGATCCCTTTGGTCGCAAGGTTCAAGGGGACAAAGCCCCGGTAATGTATGTTACCTTTAACCCAACACAGGCCAGTGCCCTGATGAAGTCACTCCCTGACCCAGAAAAGCAACCTATGCCCTTTTACAGAGCAGTGGTCCAGATTCAACAGACTGTTTGCTGAGCCTCTGTGCCATTAAGGCTGGAGATGCCTACTGGCCTAGCATTGCTCGCCACCTATGCACTAATTGGTTGTCAAGTGATACTGATTATACGTCCGGAATTGAGTTTTGTGATCAGCTAAAAACTTGGGCCAAAGATAAACTTTCTGATCAGGCAGCCGGACTTAATGATATTGTCCAGGAAAAAGGTGAATCCGTAGAGAGGTTTCACGCTAGACTCTTTCAAGTATTCTCTGACCTAGGGTTTGAACTTAGCAATAAAATACATGCCCAAATGCTTTCTGGTGCCTTTGTACAGGGCATCAAAGACTCTATACGGAAAGGTATTATTGCTGCCCGCCCTGAGTATAGAGTGGTTTCCCTTGATAAGCTGCTTTTAGTTGCCAGAGGTTTAGAGGCAGCACAGGTGCCAAGAAGATCCAATCCCACCCACCTTATGGTATCACGCCCGTCGATTCCCAGAGGCACTAGGCCTGAGGATGGAATTTGCTTTAATTGTGGGGTGAAAGGCCATTTTAGAAGTGACTGCCCTGAACCCATAAAACACCGGAGGCCATACGCTGGCAAACAAACTTCCAAGCCCGCCACTACCACGAAGGCCCCAGAAACCCCTTCACCTGATTCAGCCCAAGAAGACTAGGACACCGGCAAGCCTGTGTCATTAACCCCTGTTATGGCAGTGTCTTCAGGGGAACAAGGGGGGCCTCTAGCTACTGTAATTTTACCCATTGAGGGCCAGCCCACCACTTTCCTAGTTGACACAGGTGCAGCCCGAAGTGTTCTGAGAGAACAAGACCTGCCCGATATCTCATTTCTTTCCAATATTGATGTCTCCTGTGTTGGGGTGGACGGCCTTCCAAGGCAAAGTCCCCTGTCCACCCCACTGCGGGTTGGTAACTGCCACAACTTGCTTGCTCGCTTTGTGGTATCTTCCACATGCCCCATTAACCTGTTAGGAGCTGATGTTCTTTCACGCCTGCAGGCATCTATCACCTTTACTCCAGATGGACAAGTGGAACTATCCACCCCTCTATCTGTCTCACACACCTCAGCTTTGTGCTCTTTACCCCTGATGCTACATCTAGAAGAGCCTCATGGGGATGCAAAAGACCTAAGGACTAATTTCCCTGATTCACTAAAGACTGATGTTCCCAAGAAACTGTGGTCCACAGGCCCAGAGGACATAGGCCATCTAAAGGTCCCACCTGTGGTGGTAAAGCTCATCCCAGGAGCAAAATTGCCACGAAAATCACAGTATCCTTTGAAACCAGCTCAAGCTGCAGCCATTACAATTCAAATTCAAGCACTCCTGGAGAAGGGTGCTCTTGTCAAATGTGAATCACCATGCAATACTCCATTATTTCCGGTAAAGAAAAAAACTCCAAAAGGCGAACCTGAAAAGTACAGGTTGGTCCAAGACCTCAGAGCGGTAAATGAAGCCACAGTTTTGGACACTCCAATAGTGCCCAACCCACACAGTCTCCTTTCCGGCGTTCCACCCTCTGCCAAGTACTTCACAGTCATTGATCTGGCCAATGCCTTCTTCAGTGTTCCCCTGGATCCAACTTGCCAATATCTGTTTGCTTTCACACATGAAAAACAACAGTACACATGGACTGTCATGCCCCAAGGGGCACAAAATTCACCAAGTCAATTTGCGAAGGCCATGTGCTCTATCCTTGATCCATGGCAATCTGACCATCCTGAGGTCGTCCTGCTTCAATATGTGGATGATTTGCTGCTTTGTGGAGATGATCTACCCACAACAGAACAATGCTCACTTAATCTTCTTTGCTACCTAGCAGAACAAGGATGTAAAGCTTCACGTCTCAAGCTGCAATTCTGCCAACCTACTGTTATCTTCCTTGGCCATTGTCTGTCTCAGGGAACCAGACATCTTACCCGTGACCGAGTTAGAGCAGTACTGGACATTCCACCTCCAAGGACCTCGAAGTCACTACACGCCTTCCTAGGCCTCATTTCCTATTGCCGAGCATGGATCCCAGAAGCCTCGCTCCTTATGCAACCTCTTTATGATGCTCTCAAGTCAGACCCATTTTGCTTGTCCACAGAAGCCCTTGACAACTTCTGTTCTCTCAAACGTGCTATTGCTTCTGCTCCTGCTCTTGGCCTACCAGACTATACCAAACCCTTCAAATTGTTTGTTTCTGAAAGACAAGGCCATGCAACAGGAGTACTCACTCAGGCCCATGGTCCTGGAGGCCGCCAAAGGCCTATTGGATTTTTCTCCTGCCAACTGGATGTTGTGGCCAGAGGACGTCCCTCTTGCCTTCGGGCCGTCTTTGCTGCCAGAGAGCTCATTGAAAGAACTGGAGATCTTGTCCTTGGCCACCCCCTGGTTGTCTTGGCCCCTCATGACATTTCTGCCATAGTCAACCAGGTCCAACTTAAGCATGTTACTCCTGCTAGGCATCTTCGCCTTCAATGTCATCTTTTGTTGCCTGACAACATTACCCTCCAAAGATGTCAAGTTCTCAATCCGTCCACTCTTCTGCCACTCCCTGAGGGGGGTGTATACTACGGATTCATCATGGACGAAACTTATGTTTTTCTTCTCACTGGCACCATCAAGAAGGAAATGCATCCCAACCTATCCTTTCATGATGGACAAGCACTCCTTCATGACGGAGCAGGATATGCCTTCTGTACCATGTGGTACAAACCAAACATCACTCCTGAACCCTGCTATGAAGATGAACTCTATAATCTGGTCGAAGTAAAACTCACTGCACAAGACTTCTACTGTGATTCTGAAGGCAACAGTATGGTCTTGATTCATCTACCTCCGGAACTCAAGCATTTGTACCGTCATTGGGACACTGCCATTCCACATGTCCCTGTGACCAAGTTGAAAACAATATCATGGAATGATCTTGGGCCTATGGCAAAAGCATGGGCCACTATGGACGAATCACAGCTACAGGAAAATGGTGTTGTCAAATATCCAACAACTGACCACCTAAAAGCATGGCCACGTCATTTCCTGGAGAATGAGTTCCAAGATTTAACCATAGTGAATGACTACGACCCAGATACACCTCATGACTGTTTTGAACAGATGAAAATGGAAACAACACATCTACCAACTGTGCATGAAGACCCATTGGTAGATCCCGATCTCACCCTGTTTGTGGACGGCTCAAGATATGCTGATGAAGAAGGAAGATACCATACAGGATATGCCGTAACCACAACAGATGAAATTGTCAAATCATCATCTTTACCATCAACTATGTCTGCACAAGAAGCTGAATTGCAAGCCCTGACTTCAGCATGCAAGATCTCTGAAGGAAAGCGCGCCAATATCTACACGGATTCAAGATATGCACTGGGCGTGGCTCACGACTTCGGATTAATTTGGAAAACAAGAGGATTTCTTACCACCGCCGGTACACCAATCAAGCACGGTTCCGCAATCAAGGAGCTGATGGACGCCCTCCTACTCCCAGAAGAAGTGGCTATTTTGAAGATAAAAGCACATGGGAAGTTGGACTCAGATGAAGCAAAGGGCAACCATCTAGCTGATCAGGCTGCAAAACAAGCTGCAAGAGAACCACAGGAAGTGGAAAGAAGAGTGTCCGGAAATGAAGAGACTCCCATATTTACTCTGCAGACTCTTCCAACTGACCTGAAAATCCTGCGGGAACAACAGGCTACAGTTGCCCCTGAAGAAATACAGAAGTGGAAACAGAAAGGGGCAGTTCTAAGAGATGGAGTGTATTACAACAATCTCAGATTCTGCCTTCCTAAGAATCTATACCCAGCAGTTGTTCAGTGGGCACATGGCCCTGCACACCTATCAAAAGATTTGATGATTGCCCTTGTACAGAAGTACTATGAGGCCCCTGGAATTACCACGCTAGCCAGCAATTACTGCAAGACGTGTGTCATCTGCGCCAAGTGCAATCCGGGGAAAATGACTAAAGTCCCTCCAAAACACTTGGCCAAGCCCATGTACCCGTTTCAAAGAATTCAGATAGACCACATCCAGATGCCAAAGAGTGGCAACTTCGAATATGCACTAGTAATAGTGGACATGTTCTCAGGCTGGCCAGAAGCCTACCCAGTGGTTAACATCACCGCAAAAACAACAGCAAGACGGCTACTTACAGAAATTGTATGTAGGTTTGGATTACCAGAAGTCATTGAAAGTGACCAAGGCCCAGCTTTCACAGCATCAGTAACTAAAGAGATTTGGGCCGCCCTAGGAGTGACCCTTGCCTTCCACACACCTTATCACCCACAAAGCAGTGGTAAGGTGGAGCGTATGAATGGCACCCTGAAAACTAGAATGCTAAAAATGTCGCAAGAAACAAAAATGCCCTGGCCCGAAAGCTTGCCAATAGCCCTGTTTAGTGTCAGACATACACCCAGAGGGAAGCCCTCATTGTCCCCTTACGAGATTCTATTCGGGTCAGCACCCAGGCTAGGTTGCTATTTTCCCCAGCAATTACAACTTCATACTGATGTTTTAGTAAACTATGTAACTGAACTTGCCAATGCTTTGAACAAAATCCATGCCCAAGTTTTCTCTTCAATTCCAGATCCTGATTCTGACACAGGCAACCACAGTCTGCTCCCCGGTGACTGGGTTCTGGTCAAGAAATTTGTGCGAAAACACACCCTGGAACCAAGATTTGACGGACCGTTCCAAGTTCTCCTGATCTCCCCTACCTCTGTCAAATTGGCCGGAAGGCCTAACTGGATCCACGCTTCCCATTGCAAGAAGACACCTGCCCCAGAGGAAGCTAACTCTATGCAACCATGTGCCTCTGGTACATTATCTCCTTAGTTGGCCTCCTTAAAGCCCAGCAGGTGGCCATCACCAAAGATGCTAGTGGGTACACTTTCTGGTATAATTCATCATGTACCCATGTGGCTACATTCACTTTTGATTACTGTGATATTGTAGAATGCCCATTCCCTAAGTCACAGATTCAAGCCATTTATAAAGATATACCACAAGCAAAAGACCCTTACGTTTGTGTAGTAGATGAACAATGGGGTTATGACTGTAACTACTGGGGGGCTGCGGGATGGAATACTGGGCCTGCCTGGGGTTATAAACCCAAAAGTGCTTTATCTAAGATAGACAATCAGGGTAGATCCCTCCTTCAAAGAATGACTTTAAGAAAGCCTGGAGGAAGTACCCCTATGAAATTAATGTTAAATATTGAACATCCTGGCCCCGAGGATGCAGACCGATATGTAATGGGAATGTATTGGAAGAAAGGTTCCTACAACAAATTAGGTCATTTCTACCTCAGAGATATGTACCACTCTCCAGAGTGGCAAGGGGCTGATCATATGGTCCCAAATCCGCTAAAACCACATATCCAGTCCTTTAAAGATATGATGGCCATCGCTAACCCCACTTTTGAAGATACCATGGCCGCTGAAACTGGATTCAATGACATTAATTTGTGGTTAGAATGGATGAGGTATAATGCCAACAAACATAATAAAACAGCATGTTATGTATGTGGCGGTGCCCGACCCCACCTTGGCACCGTCCCCCTAATCCTCCCTTTAGAGATAGAAGATTGCTTCTTAAGCCTTTTTGCCTACCAATATGACTTTAATAGGTCCCTCTGCATGGCATGGACGGCAGAATACCCTCTCTTAGTTGAAAATGTTAAGCCACCAGATGGAATCACAGTCTATAGAGGTAATTACACTTGTTATGCCATGTATGACGGGATTGGTAAATTCATGGGTAATTTTTCTAAAGGTTATTGCGCCACTTACAGAACTGTTCCTATACGCCTGTTGCAACACCATACCAGGTCATTGGGGGATATTTACTGGTTATGTGGGGATCTACAGTTAAGATCTAGGCTGGAAACTGAGTGGTGGGGTGAGTGTACCCTGGCCAAAGTTATCATGCCCATTCATATTATTTCTGATAATCATCATGACACATACGACCCTCCACATACATCAGCCAGAGTAAGGTGCGAAACCCCAGTAAAAGGCAGTTTTGACCCCCACATTTACATAGATGCCATTGGGGTACCCTGGGGGGTACCTAATGAATTTAAAGCTAGAGATGAAGTAGCTGCAGGTTTTGAATCACTTTTTACCATAGTCACTGCCAACAAAAACCTTAATTGGATTAATTATATCTATTACAACCAACAGCGCTTCGTGAACTACACCAGGGATGCCCTCCAGGGCTTGGCCGAGCAATTACAGGCCACATCCCAAATGACCTTCCAGAACAGACTGGCCTTAGACATGATCTTAGCCGAAAAAGGGGGGGTCTGTAAAATACTACCCGACACTATGACTTGTTGCACTTACATTCCAGAAAACACAGGTCCTAATGGCAAAGTCACTCTGGCCATAGCTAAATTAAATAGACTCTCTGAAGAGTTAAAGAGAAACTCTGGAGTTACTGATCCCTGGGAAAAATGGTTTGGTTGGATGACGGGTTGGCAGAGAGCTTTAGTCCAGATTGGTATTGCCTTACTAATTTTTCTTTTTATTCTCGCTCTTCTCATTTGTTGTGTCCTCCCATGCCTAAGGAAATTCCTGCAGAAAACTGTAGACCAAGCAACACCAACCTTCACTCATCTGACAATCGATGATCAAGATCTCACCTCACCCTGTATTCCGCTACAAACTCTCCCTTATACTGATGAAGTGCAGAAAGTCTAGGAAGGGACAGTACAGGGACAGCGTCCGTCTTTATGGGTAGACTGCCGTACGGAGAAGTAGTGGATAAGCCACTATGGGTTACCAGCGGAGTGAAGAGTGTTCCTGAACCGTACTGACGGATGTGCTGCAGCCTGTTAGGGTCAAGAGAGGGATAGACTTGCACTTTGCATTAACACTAAGTCAGCGGTCATGGGGTTTCTGTGTCTTTGGGCTAACACATCTTCTGATACTAACAAATAAAGTTTTGTCTTTTAGCAAATAACATTTTAGGGGGGACTGTTGTAGAATTATTAGGCCTCTATAAATCTGTAAGGCCCCTTTAAATCCTCTTGCTATACCTCTAAGAGGCCCCCATAGTTTTACAAGAAAGCTTTGTCTATAGAACATAGAATTTGCATGCCAGCAAGAAATAGCTTTGATAAAATGTGTATTTACTAAAAGCCTTGAAACCTAACCTTGAGAAACTAACAAGTGCCAGCTACGCTCTAAATGGATAGCTGCCAAAAGGCCCCTCCCGTCGAGTGAGCTCCTCATGTTAGCAAAATGGCGCTAAAACCTGGAGGAGATAATCATGACGGGGATAGTGACCTAGGAATGGGGAGGGCATTTTACTAACATCTTAGCACCTAAGCCAATTAACAATGTCTATTTGTCTATATCTTGATTTTCTTCAGTGATGTAATAATGCCTTTAAAAGGGTCTGCGCACCCATTTTCTGTCAGAAGCCATTAAACTTCTCCGAAGTTCTTTCATTAACCTGAACTTTGTGTCTCAGTGTGAATTTACTTCTGCGTGCACGCAACTTTATTATCTTTAATTTGGACAGGAACAGATAGTCATTCAAACTAATTGGTTTGCAGTAAATCAACTACAACACCAACAGACACACTTTATAAGTATGTCCATCACATCACCACTGACATGCAGTGGACTCAACACATCTAAGCCCCAACAACTGAACATATAAGGTTCCTCCCAGGACTCACAGCCACCAAGTCTTGCAGCTCAAAGCCTTATGCTGGGGTAGCATATCTGGAAAACCTTATTAAAAATAACTGCACTAGGGGGCGTGGTCTGATCTCTGAAGGAGAAAGTCGCATGTGGCTGGAGTTCCTCGGGAAATACTGCTTAATAAGCCAAAACTGACACAGTTTCATTAACTTCTTGGTAGAATCCTGCTTATCTCACTGTTGCCAGGCCTGTTCACACTCGAATCTAGCGGGCATGACCCTTGAAAAGTCACACAGCGGCCTGCAGACATACTCGAAGTGGGGGATGCAGCCGATCCTCTCCCCGAGTCTCGAAATCACCTGATTGTGAGCCCTGTTCCACCCCTCTGGACCGACGTGGATTATCCCAGTCCCCACTGGTACGCTCACCTCCTACAGGCGGTATTGGAATCTGAGAGGAATTGAGGCCTACTGCTAACAATGGCTGCCGTGCAAATGCTTGAGGCCCCATAGCCCTTCCTGCAACCATCCATCTATGTTGACTTACTCCTTCAATCCTTTGACAGGCTGTGTGCATCATTCTGGCCGAAGCTGAGTGCCCACGAGCTTACCGCTCCTCCTATCTGAAATTTCAAGGTCTCCCGGATCCAGTCTGCTGGCCGACACTACATGCCGAAGTCTCACCCATGCAGACGTCGCAGGGCATTACGGAGATGGAAGTGCAGAAAACCGCCATTGCTGGCTCATCACCGCCGAACACATGGTGGCCATGCCTGCTTCCAGCAGGACCAACCAACAATCAGGGTCATACCATTGAACACAGCCTACCCGGATAGCCAGGTGGTGCTGGGTACGGGTGATGGGAGGAATGCAAGCCTCTGTTGCTGGACGAAGTTGGACATTGGGAAACAGCTTGCAGATATGCCGAAGTGCCTGCTATTTACAACCCATGTGGCCAATTACAGAGTCACTGATCCGCGGATACAAGCCCCAGACGAAGATCAAGATGGCAGAGACTGGAACTTTCCATCCCTGGGAGTCGGATGAACGACCTGCTGACCATATTCTGACACAAACATGATCTCGCTGACCATAATGCTTCAAATGACCAAATAGTTTTACTCTGTACTTGTGCCTGCTTAACTACTTGCAACAGTGAAAACTGGCCACCCTGTGGTATTTCTCTCCTGATTTTACCTAAAGTTCAACTCTACAGCTATCCTCCCTTTCTTTATGCCTAATCTAAAAGAATTGTGGCTTTGCCAGCTGCTCTTATTTAATATAAAAAGGTACTTTCGAAGTCTCATTTCACACTTCCATCCTGTCTTGGTGTATAACAGTGATGGCTGACATTGACACCATAAATTGTTTCTGGACTACATTTCCCATGATGCTCAGCTAGCTTTTAGAGTCTTAATTAATAACACGTAGAAATAGCACATTTTTTAAATAGTATGTTATGGCCATCAAGCTAGTCTGTCATGTTTGGTTCCGGGGTAAAACTAAGTTTGTGTCGCTGTCAGAGAGTGGCGTATACCTGAAAAGAATGGTATAGTTATATGACAAGGAGTGTAATCAGGCTAAAAGTACAAGCTGAATCCACTGGTATCATGCAGGTCACAAAGTAATATAACGTACAGTGTAACAAAATGGCGTCAGTAGGTTGTTATATCATACACCAGTGATGGCTGACCTTGACACCATAAATTGTTTCTGGACTACATTTCCCATGATGCTCAGCTAGCTTTTGAACTACATTTCCCATGATGCTCAGCTAGCTTTTAGACTCTAATTGATAACTTTATTAAATCTTTATTTTTGTTAGTCTTAGTTCTTGCACTCATAGTCTTGTTAATTTATGTTCAACATACTGTATATTACTTTAACCTATCTGATCTCTACCATACCCTCCTATCTTTAAATCTCAAATGTCCTCTTCTCTGCTTTCTTCCCTTTATTGCCCTTTCTCACTTCAATATCTACATGCCTCTCTCCACACACAATTGCTGGGTTTTTTTTTTTACTCTATACCCAGACTTTCTATTTTAGTCTGAGCCCCAACAACTGAACCTATTTTAGAAGGTTGCCCCAACAACTGAACATAAGGTTGCTCTCAGGACTCACAGCTGCCAAGTCTTGCGGCTCAAAACCTTATGCTGAGGTAGCATCTCTGGAAAATAAATTTTGGAACTGTCTCATTTATTGTTAAATCTCCCCCTCCTATAATATTGTAAAGCGCTATGTAAATGTCAATAATAAGTCCAATTAATAATTCTCCTAAATGTGAACTACGCTTAAAAAGAGGCTGCAAACAACCCTCTATTTTAACCCTGAAGCTGAAAATATTGTTGCTCTTGAGGGTAGGAAAAGGTAGAGAAACCACAGTCTGGGGAAGTAGGAGGGGGAAAGAAACCACAGAAAGGAGTGGGGGAGTTGGAGGGGGAAGAGAAACCACAGAAGGGAGTTGGGGGGCAGAAGGGGGGTAGGAAGAAACCACAGGGAGTCAGGGACAAAGATACATAGAAGGGAGAAAGGGAGAAAAGTATTAGATAAAATCTGTTACCAAGAGTAGTTATGGTGCATAGCTTTAAGAGATATAAAAAAAATCAATGTATAGTATTTTTGCTAAATTATAATAGTCCCAATAGTAGACTATTAGTAAATAAGTATTAAAATAGAGTGTATTTTAATACTTGTTTTATGTACTAATACATTTTTATTCGGAAAGCACTACATCTCTGCACTTTCTATTGTAGAGTCATCCCATCTTATTGTGGTGTACACAAATAAACTATCCAGATCCTGGTGGTCTTCTTACTTATGAAAGATTATAGCCACTTATATCTGATGTATCAAACTATTATAACATTGGGAGTTTAGTTTTGATACTAGATTTTACAGTTTAGTAGGCAGGGTCCCTGGCTGTTTCCATAGCAGGGATCTTCTGCTTATTATTGGCATGAGCGGTTACATTTGTGGACTCCGGGATTTACACTTTGATACTTTCTTGCTGCTAATTTGTATCTATTTTGCATTTAGACACTCATTTTTACTGCATGAGGTGTATTCTACATGAATTATTGCATGTAATATATTTATTTTTAACGACTCACTGTTTAGTTGACAGGCTGGGGGAGCCAAAAAGACACACAGAAGAGGGGTTGGCGGGTGATATTGACACACAAAAGGGAGGCTGTGGGGGGACAAAGATACACAGGGGGTTGAGGGAACAAGGACACACAGAAGGACTGGGGGGGACAAAGACACACAAAGACCTGGGGGACAAATAGACACACATAGGTGTTAGGGGGACAAAGTAAATATCTTAGAAAGTGATGGGGCAGATCATATATGTAAGACATTGTGATGTCACAACATAGGGGACGGCAAAAATGTTTTGCCTAGGGTGGCAAGAATCCTTGCATCGGCCCTGCACACATAAAGCTATACTCCCAGACACACACTCACAGATCTGCACTAACAGACACAGCAATACACACTTAATTTCACAGTTAATCACTCTCACAGGTACTCATAAAGGCAAATAATTACAGATAAACACACACATTCAGAGATGTACACACGCACTTCTAGATACACTCACTCACCTTGTTGTTTGTCTCATTACGCAACATCCTGGCCTCCTGGCGGATGTCATGAGAAGCAGAACGTTGTCTCTCAGCATTTGTGGAGATGAGGTCACTGTTGGTGTGCCAGTCTGGCACAGCAAACCGACTCCCTGGCTTCAGACTGAGAGTGGCCATGTCTGTAGTGACAGTAACTGTATTGGACAAGAAAATCCTTTAATGTCTTAAGGTTCACTTGATATTGCTCCTTTTATAAAATAAAAAATATATACAAGCTAATTCTTTCTCTCTATAATTCTATATATATATATATATATATATACACACGCAATAGGGTACTTATCTATCACCTTTTACTGTACATCAGGGTATATAACTCTCCCCTCCTAATACATACTTGCTTTAAAATACATGCCTCGCACAACCTACAAATACTCTGACATCTCCACAGATTGCTTTCACCTTGTACTACACTGACATTTGAATATATATAGTAACCTCCTCCAAAAACACATTTATAAGGAAACCTACCTTTTTATACATATAGACCATAGACCTGAAATGTAGTTTTTAATAGATTATTTTTTCATTTACAATAAGTAAGTTGTAAATTGCCGGGTGATAGCAGGTAAGATGTGTAAATAAATTAACCGTGCAGTGCCCTCTGGCATTTCTGGAGAAAATGGAGCAACATGCGCACGTGTATGACTTATTTCTCCTCTAGATGACTGAGAATGCAGGAGTACGCCGAAGGAGTGCAATGGAGATAAGTACATTTTTTACCTTTACTGGGAGCGAAGGATAGTTGCATTTGAAATGGTTACTCCAAGCACAGTGAACACTTCACAGGTTAGAAGTGGAAATTATCCCCCTTTATAAGCCCTTCTTTATACTGAAGGAACTTTGAGAGTTGTTTGATTAAGGTCATTAGAATAAGCTGGTTTAGTATATGTGTTTTGTTATTTATTTTCTACTTTTTTAAACAAATCTAACTCATAATTATATCAATATGTTATTTTTACAGTAAAGCATTAATATCCCTTTAAAATGCATATCTTTATTGTAAGTGGGTTAATATCCCTTTAAGGGGGAGGGGTGGAGCCTGCAGCTTGAGCTAGCCAGACGTGCATCAAACGAGCTCCTGCGATTGGTGCTGATTTAGCTGGAAAGGTCTAACTGAGGTGCTACCTATCTGGGGAGCACTACACTGAATCGATTGAGACCACTCTCAAGACCATTAGTTTACGGGATTAGCGGCAGCAGGTTGAGGCCTACTAACGCATGTGGAGGGGAAGTGCGGCCGACTTCCTCACTTCACTCAACCCTGCACGGCATGGCAAATCCACTACTCTTCCCCCCTGCCCCCAGTCCCCGCTGGACTGACCTGCCAAGTGCTCAGACTCTAAACTCCCACTGCGTGATCAGCAGCAGCCACACTCCACACAAGGAGCCAAGACGGCGGATGCACAAATCTTCTACGAGGCAACACCACAGTATGCAGAACAGCTCCCATTCAACTTTGTCCAGCAGTCTCTGCAACGGCTAGATAAGCTGTTCACTCGATTTTGGGGCAAACTGGAAAGCCGTGTGGCAGCCACACAGCAGCAGACTAAGGAGGGAGTCTGGAGGGACATCAGCCCGAGAGCAAAGGGACCCCCTTCAGGCTTGGCCTCTACTCATCGGCCTAGGCAGGCTTAAGGTCAGCCTGCCTAGGCCGAGGGCCCCCGGGTATTAACCCAGAAGCATCACCCACACTGACGGAGAGCTACCCACCAAAGGCAGCGACTTACCACCAGGGCCTCTTGTCGCCTACAAGGTGGGATGGACTTGGTCTCCCTGAGCCTCCAGGTCCGTGGCCCACGTGCCGGCCTGGGGCGGGGTGTCCCGTCTTGCTCCCACTGTGCCGTGGCCTCTATTGAATTCCCTACCTCCATCATGAACTTCCCACACGTGGGCATCGGCTAAGCTTGGACTGGCTGCCTGGCACATACTACTGTATACCATTACTGTGGTACCGAACCCTTGAAAGATCCAGCAGACTTTCTCTTGTACTTTCCAGCGGACTTTCTCCAGTGTGATATGCCCCACTTAGTTAGTTCCTTTAGCATGCTAGATTGGGGGCAAGTTATATGCTGAGGGTGTATACCAACCTGCTTGAATTTGTAGGCTTCTACTGGGGATGGTTCACAACTTTACTTATTGACTTGTGATATGGCTGTACATAATTTGCCTAGCATGATTTCACTCAGCATGTTCATCTCTTTAGCCTGTGCATTCATTTATTTTAATTTTCATTTATTATCCACATTGTTAATAAGCCTGTGTGTTTTTTCCTACTACTCTTGTTCTATTAAAAATAAAGTGCAGCATACCATGATTACTCAAAGCGATATATTGATAATCTCTCTTATGTCATGTGACATTGCTGAAACGTGTATTTAAAGGACCACTATAGGCACCCAGCCCACTTCAGCTTAATGAAACTGTCTGGGTGCCTGGTCCAGCTAGGGTTAACCCTTTTTTTTATAAACACTGAGGGTTAATCCAGCCTCTAGAGCCTCTAGTGGCTGTCTCATTGACAGCCGCTAGAGGCGCTTGTGTGCTTCTCACTGTGAAAATCACAGTGAGAAGACGCCAGCGTCCATAGGAAAGCATTGTAAATGCTTTCCTATGAACTGGCTGAATGCGCGCGCGGCTCCTGCCGTGCATGCGCATTCAGCCGATGACGTCGCTAGGAAGGAGGAGAAGAGGAGGAAAGCTCCCCGCCCGACGCTGGAGATAGGTAAGATTTTAACCCCTTCCTCTCTCCAGAGCCTGGCACTATAGTGGTCCTTTAATTCTGCACTCAAAAATAAAGAATTTAAATTAAAAAAATATATATCCCTTTAAGGCCTTTTACCAATCCCTTCTTTTTTTTCTTGTTTTTTTTTTTATAAGGATTTGTTATCTTTTTAATAAAATCTATTCAACTTATTTTTTAGGGAAATAAACATTATTTTTATTCTATTAGTACGATGATTATATGTAGTGTATTCATGGTTTTGATTTTGGTATATTTAGTTTTTAGATTTGATTGATATGATGTGTCCATTCATTTCTGTTATCCCTATGTGATTAATGAACAGTTTTTGCAATATTTATAGTTTATAACAATATGTTTCCATCAATTGGGTACAATGCAACTATGTATAGGAATTTGTTTAATATACAAATTCAAATGGCTGGAAGTGAGGAGAAGAGGAGTTATTGAGGAGCTGGAGCCTCGTAGGGAAAACATGGACACAGAACGGATGTCATATGAAGCGCATGTGATTGGGTGACACGTGTCACAGGAGGTGCCTCCATGCGCATATCATGCAATCGGAACTACGAGCAGGAACAGAGACTGTTTCAATTATTGTATTACAAGAGCAATATTTGTTAGTTTCATTCCAAGTGAGATCACCAGGTTTTAATGTAAAGCTCCTTTAATTTTATTGTATATGAAATAAATTTGATGGTATAACACTATTGTGGCACCCCCTATTGGAAAATTCATTAAAGGATATATAACTTGTGTGTTGGTTTAAGCCCTCTCCTTGCTGAGTGATTTTTACCTAGAGACAGGCATTAGGCTCTTGTACATGTGAGTGTACATTTTTTGGGGGGACATTAAGATCGTTGTTTTGTTAATATAGCATATTATGTAGGTACCATTTTTACTTTATAGGGGCTGAAAATATTGGAACATTCTATATAAGTATAATTATATCTTTTTTTTTTTGCACATTAGAAAGATTCCTTAAGGTGTAAATTGTGAACTTGATGGTTAATGTTAGAGATAGACCGATTATCGGTTTTGGCAAATATCGGTATCTGCCACTATTGATACCGATATTGACGATAATGTGAGAGGCGGCGGTGGGCCAGCGCGTCCATTATGCGGCTTTGGGGGCGCAACAATCAGTTGGCTGGAAGTAAGGAAGGGCACAGTGCTCTCCCCTACCCGTCACTCAGTGAACAATGGTCGAGTGGAGCAGAGCAGACCGCGGTACAAGAGCTTCAGTTTCCTGTACCCAGCCGGACTGACAGGAAGTGCTCACTGAGATAGTACTTCTTGTCAGTCCTGCTGGGTACAGGAAACTGATGCTCCTGTACCACAGTCTGCTCCAACCAGCCACACTGGGAGAGGACCACAGGGGTGGTGGGACACCAAAGGACAGGGAGGGAGAGAAACACATTAAGGGGGTGGGAGAGTGAGGAGAGGAGAGGAACACTAAGGGACAGGGAGGGGAGGGAAGAGAAACACTACGGGACATGGAGGGGAGAGGAACACTAAGGGACAGGAGGGGTGGGGAGAGGAACACTAAGGGACAGGGAGAGGTGGGGAGAAAAACACTAAAGGACAGGGATGGGTGGGGAGAGGAACACTAAGGGACAAAGAAGGGGGTGAGAGGTACACTAAGGGAAGGGAGGGGAGAGGAAGGGAGAGAAACCCTAAATATGCATGAAAACATAAAAAAATCTGACTGACATGTATATTTTGTGCATTTACAACTTAATAAAAAAAAAAAGATTTGCAAAATGAAAAAATTAAACATGTTCAGTTAACAGTAGATTTGTGAAGAAATTGTTTCTTGTTTCAAAACGGTAAATTATCTGCTATTGGCCTGAAAGTTCACAGATTATCGGTATCGGCTCACAATAATCAATATCGGTCGATCCCTAGTTAATGCACTTTAATAAATTTTTAGCTCAACCCTATTACTGGTTAAAGAAGTGGTCAAGGTACCTGGAGTCTGTATGTGCATCATGTCGCTATGAAATGCGGAATATGCAGAGTTTAACTCCTCTGCTTCCGAAGGTTTAACTCCACCTCTGGCCCCATCATAGAGGTGTCGTTAGCCAGCCTGTAACAAGGGTATTGGGAAGGCGTATTTGGCATCTGGCACCAGGGTTATCAGTATAGGAAGGGCTCTTCTTAAAACACTTTTTCAGTTGGAGTAATCCTTTAACATTACTATATAGTAGATAGATTACAGTTGTAACTGTATATGTGTAACATAATATAACCGCTACAGACTAACATTGTAAGCAAGAACCTATTATTCAGTGGTAACTGGATACATGAGATTGCATCTAGAAGTTTTGTCATGAATTACATTGAGAGGTCTGCCATGGCATACACATTTAAAAATAAAATATCAATTACTCTATACCATGGAGCGTCATTGAACATCACAGTAAACTGTATTTATAAGAGTTCCTTATTTTTTTGCTCAGTTACTGTTTACCAATTTGTAATTTTTGGGATAATAAAAATCATACCATAACATTATGACATACATTTACCAACTAACATATTTTTCCAGCCACATTCACGTACTCGCCATCCATTTTCTAAATCTATGATACACATTCTTGCACACACAAATTAAACCCATGTGCACAGACACACAATACATTTGCAGTCACATATACACATTTGTAAGAAATCTGCACATTTAGGCTGGTTTAGGATTATAGAAATTGGAAGTGTTTAACACACCAACATCTGAAGTGTTATGGTCAATCATCACCACTAGTGACCACATTCCCTATGTGATTTTTATGCTGTTCTTTATTGTGAAAGGAGTGAAACACATACAAAGAGCAGACATATAAAGGGAGGGGAGCAAAATACAAGAACTTACATCCATATAGAACATTGAAAAGCCCTGCACATAGGTGTCAGTGACACTTGACTCATGCCTGCCTGTACACATACAGTCACATACAGAGACATGCAATCACATACTTAGGCACAGAGACATGCAATCAATCACATGCAATACACGGACACATACACGGACAACAATCACACAGAACAGATTTAATACTCTCTCTCTCTCTCCTTCCCCTGACCGGAGTTAAAGTCCATGGTATCTAATGGTGGGGAAGTAGTCACTTGCACCCAATCCATGTTTAAAATGGAATGAGGCAATAATGTGATTCTTTGTTAAACTAATTTGCATATGCCCACCCAGAATCCTTTGCTGTAGTAACATCAATGCAAATGTGTGATTTCTGTGGGAAAAGCAGGTCTTATGGCTTGACTGGTGTGCAGATTTTTGTTTAAAATTGTATTAACTACCTATATATATACACATATCCACGCACACACTTATGTTTATTTCGTTTAGAGCATGATGAAAGTTTCAAAACTTGAAAAAAATATAGCATGCATGGATCTTGTCACCTCATTATTAATTTCATAATTCCCCTGTGCAGATGTGTAGACTGCGGATTATGTAGACTAACCACTGGCACTCAAACCATATCCATGCCTGACAGCTAATGGAAAATGGAGTTAACAATAGTAGCTGTAGTGTCCATTGGTTTACACAAACTAGCACTCCACTTTATCGGTGCTGTCAGCTCTATCAACACTTCATGTGTTTTAATTGTTGGAAAAGATGCTCTTGTTAGTCTAATTAGTTGCGATAATTATATATGTATTAAGGCAGTTTTGCCTGTATTTGTGGGAGGGGCTTAAATTAATTCACTCCCCTATATAAGGGACACCACTTACCTGACTCATATCGCTTGAGGTCAGCATCAGAATGATTTCCACTTCCGGGTCATCCAGACGCCATTTTACCTGATTACTCCATGAGGTTTTCTAAGCTGAGCTGTGTCAGGAATCCAGCCACAGGCTTTTCCGGCCTACCACCTTCTTTCTTCAATCTATCGCTGTGGATGGTGTCCAAGTGACTCACAAACCGTAAGTTGACCTACCCATTACGCCAGGCATCAGTCCCACGGCACCATGCAAGGGTCAGGTCCTCACTTTACTGCTGCATTTTGTCTAAGTCTGTTCTAAAACCATTGCATGTTCATGCATATCATTCGTTTAAACCCCCTACTGGTCTTTGGGTGTACTACAGACTTCTTAGACATTATCGCATTTCATGTACAAACCAACGAACCACTGCATCTTTGCCTACACACTGACCCCTACCGGTCATTCGGTGTACTACAGGCTTCTCAGACATTATTGCATTTCATGTACAAACCAACGAACCACCGCATTTTTCACCTACACACTGACCCCTATTGGTCATTCGGTGTACTACAGGCTTCTTAGGCGTTGTTTGCATTTTCATGTACAAACCAATAAACCACTGCATTTACACCTACACACTGACCCTTACTGGTCTTTCGGTGAACTACAGGCTTCTTAGACATTATCGCATTTCATGTACAAATCAACGAACCACTGCATTTGCGCCTACACACTGACCCCTACCGGTCATTCTGTGTACTACAGGCTTCTCCGACATTATTGCATTTCAGGTACAAACCAACAAACCACTTAATTTTTCACCTACACACTGACCCCTATCAGTCATTCGGTGTACTACAGGCTTCTTAGACATTATTGCTTTTCATGTACAAAACAATAAACCACTGCATTTTCACCTACACATTGACACCTACCAGTCATTCTGTGTACTACAGGCTTCTCAGACATTATTGCATTTTATGTACAAACCAACAAACCACTGCATTTTTCACCTACATACTGACCCCTATCAGTCATTCGGTGTACTACAGGCTTCTTAGACATTATTGCTTTTCGTGTACAAAACAATAAACCACTGCATTTTTACCTACACACTTACACCTACCGGTCATTCAGTGTACTACAGGCTTCTCAGACATTATTGCATTTCATGTACAAACCAACGAACCACGGCATTTTCACCTACATGCTGACCCCTACCGGTCAATCGGTATACTACAGTCTTCTCAGACTTTATTTCACTTCATAAGCAAACAAACCAACTACAGCATTTTCGCTTTTATACTGACTCCTATCTGTCATACGGTAGGATTAACCCCTTAGGGACACATGACATGTGTCATGTCATGATTTCCTTTTATTCCAGAAGTTTGGTCCTTAAGGGGTTAAAGTGTATTTTTACCATACAATCAGCATTTATGACCCCTACTGGTCAACAGCAAAACTGTCTTCACATGTCATATACAATTTACCAGCCAATATAAATTACACATAAGATTGTTTTAATCCCTTAAGGACACAAGACATGTGTGACGTGTCATGATTCCCTTTTATTCCAGAAGTTTGGTCCTTACGGGGTTAAACATAACCATAAACCATAAATGAAACTCCAGCACGGGCTCAAATTCAGGTTTAATTTACATTTCACATCAAGACCAACAGTGGTTCTATCAACACTGCCACCTACAGGTCTGTCAAGTACATTGACAATTTTCATGGGGTTTTACAAACACCAAAACACTTACACCTATAGGTCAACAGACAAACAACATTTCACATACCAATCAGTATCCAACTACACTGCCACCTATAGGGCACTCGGCAGATCTCCAGTGCACTTGCATTTTGCAACACCATGTTCACTGACCCCTACCATTCAATAAGACATACAACAATTCACATAGCAAGCACTATATCAACATCAGGTATAAATACATATATTATTACACAGTAGCAGACGCGTCTGTATATACGTAACTGGTAATATAGTTCACATACATTTTTCACAGCACGCTGCTCACGCAACAGACTTTCCCCTAGCAAGGGGACATACAACATACAAGGTGGGGACAGACCACATTTTCACTTGTACATACGGCACTTAATGGGTTAAGATTGATACATATTTAACCAGTATGGCTACGATGTTTAATATTTACACATCATGGCACTTTACTTTTCACATATACTGTACGTATTAAGATAAGCTTGGTCTATGCCATATTTCCTTATGCCATACGGTTTTATCCATTCAGGTTACAGTTACTACTAAAAAACCTATACGGATTGTCAGGTTCAATACCATACTACCAGGTACATACACCTGCTCACGTAGTTATCCATCTCTTACCTTCCCTGGAATAGTAATAGTGTACTGGCAATTAGGGTTCTAGGGCCCAATAGGTATTACCCCCTTTTTTCCTCTGCATTATGCTTCGGTTAGTGGTCCCGCGAGGCCAACACCCCGCCTCACACTCGGAGGCATACACCCCTCGGGCCACTCGTGAGCTAGCCGCCTCGCATTGTATCATAGAGAGGGCCTCACCTGTCACTCCCCTTCCTATTTTCTGGTTACTGTCACTGAGAGGCCAACATCCTGCCACAATGTTCGGTGGCCACACAAAATCCCCTCGCGCCAAGCATAGATAGAGCCTCTCAAGCCACTTGGCAACTAGCAGGGCCTCACCAGTCACCAAAAAACACCAAGCCTAATCGTTTCGCCTTACGGCTTAGCTAGCAAGCCAGTACAAGAACCCTGGGTACAAATAATTGCATCTTTATTGTTATTTAAGTATTTCTCCAAAAGATGGTGAAGAATCACCTCTTCCTAGCACCCCGGCTAGAATTGATACACCTTCAAGCAGAGGAGATGTTGCTAGTCCTGCAGCAATCAGATCCTGGATGATCCCACACATTACCACCGACCTAAGGAGGTGACAAATCCCCTACCCTGCTACAGCAAGGAAAGCAGAGTTATTCAAACTCCTCCATACATCAACGGACAACACGGAGGCAGGGAAGGCCCAGCTACATCAACTCAGGTGACACCCAGGCTATGCTAGCCTCACTCATAAACTCATGAGCCAAAAATTTTTATGACAGACTGGCAATCTCGAGTTGGTCACCACAGCCCTCACAAGGCTGGGCCTCACGTTACTGTACAACCAGCACCAACCGAAACTCGGTTACCTGGTACAATCAATTCTTATGACACACAAGATGTTAACCCTGCACGTATGATCCCAGCACATTGGGGAAGCAAGGCATATATATGTATGATGATGTATCTGTGATGGTCAGATTCAGGGATTCCAGGTAAATCGGGAACTGACCATCTCTTGGATGGGTTGGTATTTGGAATATGTAGAGATGTTTATTTGTGCAGGTACCCATACAGAAGGGGTTCTGTCCCAAACAAATGGACGAGCACTCTCAGGCTCCAGGTACCAGCACCTCTGAACTACCAGAGACGATTGATATGAGTAGTTGCATTGCATATAGACTGTTGCATATATGTTCAAATGGTTCAGGGCACATGACAAACCATGTGGCCCAATACAACTTACAAATAACGTACTCACCATCTGTACACACCAATGCATTTTCAACACTACTGACTCATCACCCTTCCAGACTTGTAGTAGATTTACTAAAGCTCTGGAGCTTCAAAGGGCTCCCATACAGGTATCATAAACACACCTTCAAGGAATATAGCATGCCCTCACTTACAGTCAGCACAACAACCATTGGCTGAAAACACACTCATAGCCAAGATTTGCAGAGTGGTCTTCCAATCTCCACCATTTACAGCATGGCACCAAACACACACATTGGTATTGTCACAAGGAATCTTCCCTTAAACAAAGACTAACCATAGACTGATTGGCACCACACACCTCCGCTACCCCAAGTCTCAACTCCCTTCTTACTATACAACACCATTGATCTACCTTTACAGCTATCACTCAAGCATGGGTTAAAGCTTGGTTAAGTAAGACCAATATCATCAACGCAGTAAACAGCTACCATCTACCCTACACACTGGCACTTACATGGCATAAATTGGGCAATCCTTTCCCTGCTCAACTTTCGAGCTACAGATTAACCTACTATCGATATTCACAGATACTCTGTGCTGGTTATGATAACATATCCAGAGGCATTACAGTCATACACTATCTAGAAGACTTCTTGTTGCTCAAAGAAAGCATATTTTTCACTAGAAGCCTCATGGCAGCTTAGTCTGGTTGACCACTTGGGCGTCCCAGTACCCCATAAGAAACAGAAGGCACAGACACTATCATCACATTACTGGGCATATGACTTGAGTCGGCATCCATACACGCAAGTTACCACAAGACAAATAGGGAACATTCTCAACTAAATCAATCACTACCTCCTGCTTAGTACTTACAACTACAAGGAACTACAATCCCTACCAGGTTCCTTAATTTTGCCATGCCAATCATACCACAAGACCACGCTTTCACATCCAGAGTACTTTTCCCTTTTTTCCACACTTCCAACATGACGATCAGAGGAGGTGCCTAGACACCTCAGCAACAGCAGACCTGCACATGGGGGGGGATTTCTTAACCACTTGGCATGGTAAAAGCATGTTCCTTCCAGGATTGTCTGACACTTCTCCAACCAGATGGTCAGACGCAGCGTATATACCACGGGTTTGGCAGCGATCTACCGGGAACAATTGCTTTGGGGCTGTTGGCCATGGCATCCAGGTTTGGAAATTTTTCCACCACTTCAGCCCCTTTGGGAGATCTACCCCATTGTAGCAGCTGCTGTGGCATGGGGTAAATCATGGTCAGGGTCATCAATCCGTTGTTACTCAGACAACTAAGCACATATCATATCATCAACAAACGCCACTACTCATCCATAAGTTCATGATGTTTCTGGGGAACTCACTTGGTTGGCCACTTATCACATTTCACTTTCATGTACCAGACGGGGGTATACATCCCTGCCGACAACTGTCTCATTTATATTCCAGGCATGTTCATCATACGCTTCCTACAGCCGCCCATACAGTCACGTCCACTCTTTCGTTCCAGAGACAAAATCATGGATTAGACATACTCATGCAGCATAGCATGCACTATCCCACCTAGCACTTTCGTCCCATACTTGTAGAACGCATAACACAGCTTTTCACCTGGCTTAAAGAATCTCATTGGAACACGACATAGCTCAACCTGTGTCACAAAATTTCTCCTAAGTTTTGCTTATTTTTGCCACCTTAAACTTAAACTATCTCATACACCATTAATTATATATTTTACAGGCATTCAACAACACATGATAACCTATGGCCAAAACTACCATAAACTTCATGCTATCATACCAGGAAAGAATATACTCAGAGGTTTTCAGGAATCCATTCCCCCACGTTCCTCTCAGAGGTTACCAATAGCCATCCAACTGTTCATCCTTATCGGACCTATTAGATCTACAACCATTCAATTATACTACCAAGTCGTCCATTACCAGCCATGCACATTGCCTTTTATGCCTTTCTCAGGCCAGAGAATCCACTACCATCACCACCACTCAGACAGATCATTGTCTTCAACGATCCCACGTACGTAAACACATATATCATTACCTATTGGCTCTACCACATTCCGAAATGAGTCAACATGCACCAACAGTAGAGATAACATACTATCCTACCCACAACAAATGGTGCCCACTTTCGTCCTAGATTCCTACCTTCAAAATCCTTTCAGGAATTAAATACTGTAATGCATTTAAGGAAATGTCTGGTTAATTTGTATATATTTGTTGACTGTATTAAATCTTTGATTATTCATTTTTGCCCTCTTTATTTACAGGCCTACCGTATCGTCGGTATCGGCACACCACAACCGACTTGCTCCCTTTACACTATCCTAAGCTTATGCTGGATCCTTACTCCATATACGGCTATTTTGCCCCTTACACAAGTATTAAGGCAGTTTTGCCTGTATTTGTGGGAGGGGCTTAAATTAATTCACACCCCTATATAAGGGACACCCCTTACCTGACTCATATCGCTTGAGGTCATCATCAGAATGACCCTCCCACCCACTCCTCATTTCAACACTTTCTCTTTTCTTTCCATTTACTTTACTTTCTTACTCCTTGGTGGGCCCTCTTTATTTACAGGCCTACTGTATCGTCGGTATCGGCACACCACAACCGACTTGCTCCCTTTACACTATCCTAAGCTTATGCTGGATCCTTACTCCATATACGGCTATTTTGCCCCTTACACAAATATATATATATGTGTGTGTATGTAAAGGCACCCCCAGGCATAAAAGGGGTTAACAGCCTTTTAGAAGATATCCCCTTCCAGATATACAGGCAGTTACTGTAGACACCCATCCACCTAACCGGAGAAGCATATGAATGATCTCAAACATACGAATACTGTAAACAGCCGAATCGGAAAAACCATACGAATAGGTTTACACTCCTAGCAGTCGAACTGGAACAGCATACAACAAGTCCCCCCAAGAACAAGACAAGGCTCCGTTTTGAGGGTCAAGCAGGAACAGACAGAGCTGTGGGTTTATTGTTCTTATATACACATTCGTACACATTGGTACCACCCACAGGGTTTTGGAAAACAACCAATAAACACGTACAATACACCCAGACACTCCCACACAAAATCCTCCCCTCTGTCTGTGATACAATTACCTTACACAATGGGTAATGTAATTATCACAGGCAGAGAAATACAGTTTTTCCACGTTATTCATAATTTTAAAAGTATGCATCACATAAATTCATTTACATTTTCAGAATCAGCATACTTCAAATACAAACATACGTCAAAATCATACAAATTGGTCCAGTGGTTCAAAAGATAGATCGTAGTCCTTTGTGACCAAATGAAGCATGGCTTTTCTGCCCAA